ATCTGATAAATAAAAGACTCTAATGATCATTAAATAACAAAGAGAGAAAGTTAATAAACCACAAAGTATTTTTTTAAATATATTTTTTAATTGCCAACGTGAATTTCTAAATGTTAACAAAACAGTTTTCAATCATTGCGATATGTTTGCAAAATTCTATAAAATATCTGTCCAAGAATATTTGAAAAAAAAATGTTGAAACAATACTATTACTTTAATATTTCACCATACGCCCCTATTGTCAATGTCCGGTAAATGACCAATTTTTTTTTTTATTCGATAATTTTAAAGTACTAAAACTAGTATTCAGTAATTTAATTGCTTTAATAAAGATAATTTGTTTTTATACATTTATATTGCATACCGGTAGACAGTTATATATAGATTAGAAAAAAAACGTCCTTTTTTTTTCATTTGACTTTCTCATCTATGTTCAGTCGGTAAAGTAGATAAGCGCGAAATTCAAATCCTTACAATTCTTTTTTTCAAATAAAAAAACCATTTCTCATGTCGATTTTACTAGTAAAAAATAAATTTGAGGTTCACGATTATATTCCAGGTGAATTTTTTTTTTTTTAAAAGTGTTATATAAGAACGCGCGAGATTCAGTGATTCCTAACCTTTTATTGACCTTTGAATATCAAAACCGATCGTTCGTTTCTGATGTTGTTTCCACTAACGGGATTGTTAACCCGCGTGTATAATATATACTATGCTCACAGAAAACGTTGGAAATAACAGAGAACTCTATCTGACAATGAGATAAATGTTAATCGAGGAAGAATTCAAAGTATACCAATATATATATATATACGGTTGAGAGAAATATTTCACAACAGGAGAGAAACACTTTTAGTATTAACCATATACACGATTCTAATTTTCAACATCATTATCACACAGAAGAGATCAAGAACAATCTATAACATTGTCCGTTGAGGAAAATAATCGTTTTATATATATTTATTGTTCATTGTTCTTTTAAAATTTAATTAACCAATATGCGGATATATGCGCCTTGAATATATATATATATATTTATTTCAGTCAGTTTATTTTTTTTCCTTCAGCACTTAATCTTTATTCATTATTATTATTATTATTATTATTATTATTAATATCCGATATAGTAAAAGTAATAATTTTAAAGAAGAATCGGAACATAACCTAAATATAATTATTTTTTAAACAAATTTTCATTTTTCGAATTAAAAGTGAGAATTTCTTAAAGAATTTTTCATTCATTTTTAGGCACTGAATTTTTATTTAACAGAATTCTTAAAACGCCGAATTTTTTATTTGTCCGAAATTGCAAATGGACAAACAACAAACGACAGAAACAATTCGGCACTATATATTTTAAATTCACCAATCAAAAGTTATACAAAAAAAACTATCGTAATTGGTCGATTTTAAAAATCGCGCCAAAATCGCTTTCTGTCGATTATTTGTTCGGACAAATTTGGCGTTTTAAAAATTCTATGCGGAATAGAAAATTGTGATAATAAATTCGAACAAATGAAAAATTTTCTAAAATAAAAATTCGCAGGTTGTCTAACGGTCAGGGAAAGTCAGGGAAACGTCAGGGAATTTTGTTGGTCAGGGAAAAGTCAGGGAATTTCAAAAAATTTCATTCAAAGTCAGGGAAATTTCTGTAAATTTCTACAAAAATTAAAATTTTTTGTGAATTTAAAAATATTTTAATCTAAAAAAACTTGAATGGTTTTTATTACCATTTGTTACTACTATTAGAAATTAATTTATTGTTAAATTTGTCAGTAACCATATTTTTGTCCAAAGAAAGCAGAAATAAGGTTATTAAAAAGTCAGGGAAAAATCAAAAAATGTCAGGGAGAAGTCATGGAAAAGTCAGGGAATTTTTTTCTCAATCCTTGTTAGACACCCTGAATTCGGCTTTTTAAAAATTTTGGTAAAATAAACATTCTGCCAAATAAAAAGTTATGTACCTTAAAAATTCTTTAAAGTTAAATGCACTTCTACACAGGTCGAGAACTAAATTTATTTTATTTGTATTTTAATAATGTCCTGAAATTTTTGTAAAAAAAAAAAATCGCAAAGATGGAAAATAATTGTAACATCGAAGACTTTTTGTAACTCAGTGGTTTTTTTTTGGTTTAATATCCAGTAGTGGTTAAAAGTATATAAATAAATTTGATAGAAATATTTCGTCATTAAAACGCAACATCTGCTCTGTAGCAGGTGGTCGACGTTTATATTCAATATATAGAGGAACAACAAGCCTTTTTTTTTTTATTGGTTGAGGGTTTCACGAACTTTACCCTTCTCCTTTTACCTCTGACCCTCTTTTTCGTATTACATTTCACTGCACTTTTTTTTTTTTTTTTTAAGACTTCGGCACTCAAATATTGAAAAATGATCGAAAAAAAAGTATTAGAAAAATGATCGAAAGAAGGAGAAAAAAAATTGAGAAAGGTCAGTTACAAGAAGTCATTTAAAAAATTGATTTTGACGATTATCATCGAGTGCATCATCAGAAAGTTCAATGAACTTTAAAGAGGGTTTTCATATATATATGTCTTCCGACCGATTAAGGCGGTGCAAGTAAGGCTGGGTACTGTCATTTTAAGTATTTCGGGAACTCAGTATATATACCAGACGATGGAAACAGGGAAGTAGTTTCTGTTCATATTCTCTCATACGTCAGACAATACCAGATATTCCAGAATTTATACCACTTCCGGGAAGAGAAATTTAATTTTCTATTTTTTTAATAAAAAAAAAATAGAATCAAGAATCTTATTGTAATAAGAAAAATGAAAATCTGTGATGAAAATAAAAAAACTGATATGAAAAAAAGATTGCAATTCAAAGTGAAGAGCGGCACTATGAGAAAATGAAAAAAAAAAAGGTAGAGGAAATATGTCTCTCCCTTTTCGTGATATGAAGACATATAAAACGTATACATGTCGAGTCAGTTTTGAAGGGCGCTGATGGTTTCCCTCTTTGCTTTGAAAATGAAATTCATCTGGCAAAATAAAGAGAAATGAAAAGGAATGCAACTAATATACAGTCTCTCTCTCTCTTTCTCAACATGTTTTTAGTTTTAGTACAACTATAATTAGAAGCCATATACTGGCGTCAAATATCCCTATGCTCATGTATAAAAAGCGCAATGTTAGACAAAACTTTCCCTCATCAACTTTCATCAAGTTCCTTGGACAATATTTGCAATTCTATAATTTATATATCTCTCTCTCTCTGAATAAATAAATTATTTATTAATTAAATATAAATTAATAACAATAATAATATAATATAATTAAAATAATTAATAATTATTAATAATAATAATTAAAAATTTGGCAAAATTTGGTTATAATTAAATTTCAAATAATTCCAGTCAATGAAAAAAAAGTGGGATAATAATGCAGATGAAATGAAAAAAAAATTTGGAACAATTCCAGTGAATAAAAATAATGATAATTACCTATATATTATAAAGAGAATGAAACTTGGTCCAAATTTTTTTTTTATAGGAATTAATAAAAATTAAGTTGAATTGAGAATAATAATAATAATTACACTTGAGAACCAGTTTTGTGGTATAGTTGTAAAAAATAAGCTTTAAAAAAATATGTAAGACATAAACGGTAATGGGAAATAAAAAAAAAAAAATTATTATTGTTGATTAGAATAAAATTACGAAAATAATTATTATTACATTTATAATAATAATTGTTATTAATTATTATTAATAACTAATTATTAATAAATTATAATTATTAATAATTAATAATAATTATAATTAATAATAATTATAATTAATAATAATATAATTATTAATAATGATTAATAATATAATATTAATTAATAATTATAATTTATAATTATATTATATAATAAAAAAATTTTGAAGAAATAGAAAAGAAAATGAGAATCTTTCAATCTTGTCAAATCGAAATCTATATATAAAAGAGAGTGAAGTAGATGAATGTTGCTTGTTAAGAAGCTGAGGAACAGGAAGCTGAGCAACTATTCGAAATCCACTTTATCTCCCTTGTGTGTGTGTGTGTGTGTAATAAAATTGAAAACTAACGAGAAAATTTCGAAAATTTTTTTTTTTTATGTCATTGTACCGTATGTAGAAGAATAATTATTCTCGACTCAGGAAACGAATTTACACTAACGATTTACTGTTTCCAATTAGTTCAAATTAATCGATATTTTTTATCGTAAACCAAAAAAAAAAAAATTAAACTGTCGAGTACAATAAAAGGCTCATTACAAATGAAAAATATTTATCTACTCTTACATTATTCAAATTTCTAAATTATTATTATAATAATATAGTATTCATAATATAATACAATAATAAAAATAATAATAATAATAATAATAATAATAATAATAAAAAATAATAATAGTAATGATGATAATAATAATAAAAAAATAATATAATAATCGCCCAAAGTGGAAAAAAAATTTCGGAATAATTTTTAAAATAGAAGTACATATATATATATATATAATTTTAAATTATATGACTGCGTGTGTTATAAAACAGTATACTTTCGTTTCTTTTTATATTCATGAACCGCATTGTTTGAAAATTATTATAAGAGACTTTCTTCTATAAAATACGAAATCTAGAAAAATTTAATTTTCACATAGGTATAACGAAGAAATATTATCATTTAGATCAATGATTTTTTGAAGAAACACAATTTTTTCCAACTTTTACACCATTTTTTTTAGAATTATTTTTTTCTTCTTTAAAACAAGCAAATTATAATATATATTAATTTTAATACACTTTGAAAAAAAATTTATTTGTTTCAAATACAGAAATTATTGATAACAAATATATTTTATTTAATTCAAATAAAAATTTGTATTTCGTTCAAATAAATTTTTTTTATTTATTATAATTTATATTAATTATTATATTATAATTTTATATATATATAATTATAATATAATAATTAATATAAATTATAATAAATAAAAAAATTTATTTGAACATAGGGTAACTGCACCAGTGGTGGATCATGCACCAGTGGTGGATCAACTGCGAGAAAAATGGTCATTTGTGTTTACACGTTTGTAAGTAAATGAACCGCAAGTGTCGGTAATTGTTAAGAAAGTTATACAGATCAATATTACAATTTAAAAAAATTTTTAAATTCATCGCGAAGAAAGCAGGACAACAATTACTAAAGTGGTGACAGAAAACAAGAGTTTTCCTTAACATGTAAGTTAAGAGTATATTTTGGAATAGAAAGCTTTGGAGACATTTTAGGACAATTTTTAATTCTTTTCACCATAGGAGGCATTTCGTTTCATCCCCATAGAGTCCTGAGAACAATATTTACGTCTGTAAGTAGCGCGTGTCCATTGTTTTGGGGTGATCCACGACTGGAACCAAAAAAGTAACAAAATCTAGTGGTGGATCAGTCCTACTTTTCGCCTGTTGACGCATTGTTTTATTGAAAATTTTATGAGTTAAATTTTAGTTAACACTAATTCAAATGTTTATTAATTGGTAACACCTGGGGGTCGATTACGTAACTTTCCCACTTCCCACATCCCACATCTCACTTCCCACATTTTACATCCCACTTCCCAAATCCCACATCTCACTTCCTACATTTTACATCCCACTTCCCACATTTTACATCCCACATCCCATATTTCACATCTCACTTCTCACTTCCCATATTTCATATCCCACTTCCCATATTTCACATCTCACTTCTCACTTCCCATATTTCATATCCCACTTCCCACTTCCCATATTTCACATACCACATCCCACTTCCCATATTTCACATTCCACATCTCACTTCCCACATTTCACATCCCACTTCTCACTTTTCAAACTTCACATCTCACATTGTACATTACACTTTTCTTATCACGCTTCCCACCTTTTATATCCCACTTCTCACATCTCTCCCATTTCCAACAAGATGTTGGATGTGGGAAGTGGTATGTAAAATGTGGGAAGTGAGATGTGGGAAATGGGATGTGGGAATTGAGAAGTGGGATGTAAAATGTAGGAAGTGAGATGTGGGATGTAAAATGTGGGAAGTGAGATGTGGGATGTAAAATGTGGGAAGTGAGATGTGGGAAATGGGATGTGGGAATTGAGAAGTGGGATGTAAAATGTAGGAAGTGAGATGTGGGATGTAAAATGTGGGAAGTGAGATGTGGGAAGTGGGATGTAAAATGTGGGAAGTGAGATGTGGGAAATGGGATGTGGGAATTGAGAAGTGGGATGTAAAATGTAGGAAGTGAGATGTGGGAAGTGGGAAAGTTACGTAAACGACCCTCTGATTTCAAATTGTTAAATTTTTGTTGAATTAAAATACCCAGAATTAATAAATGATATTTATCATTGAAACTGAAGCTTTAAGAGTTTCTATTTATTTATTACCAAAAATTCTAATAAAAAGATGATTAATTAATATTTAGTCACATTATACCTATAGAAATGAAAGAGGAGGGGATATGGATAGGAAAGTGAATTTGAAAATCTGTCCGTAAAGCCTTATAAAAGTTGCAAAACGTCTCAGTCTCGTAATTTTAAAATGCAATGTTTTTTAGTATGATTTTTTAAGTGATCCACCACTGGAGCAATCTATAACCATGACTGGTGCAAACAGTGATCCAGAATAGGATCATTGACAAATTATCTTTGATGGAGCATTAAAGTAAACGTAGGTGTCAAAATCAAGTCCAACCTTGAAGGAAATGTCTATTGGAACTATCTGGTCCATAATACTATAAAGAATAACCTCGAATTTGTCTAAAAGCAACCTATACAGAACTTCAAAGTCAAAATAAGAAAGTTAAGGGGCTTAACTGATCCACCACTGGTGCAGTTACCCTATACCTATATATATATAATATATGTAAAATGAGAATTTAATGTACAATTTTTTGAATTAAAAAAAAATAATTTCGTGTAATTAAAGAAAATTTTGCAATTATAATAAAATGAATAAGTATATATAAAGCAAAATTATGAATATTTTGAAGACAGCTTGAAAAAAAATAATTTAATAATAATTAGTGATGAGATATATATATAATAAAATTATTAAACGCTTCACCTACATGGAAATAATTTTAATTCTATATAACGAATGATAATGGGAGAGTGTGCGTGTTGAGAAAAAAAATATATATATATAGTAGATCGACGCCACATAATTGACGTAATTGTATATTATTTTCCATAAAAGAGAAAATGAGAGCTTCTTGTCACTTTACAACTATGTATATATATATAAATAATATAAATTCTAAACATAAAATGCAGACTTTATCATTAAAAATGTCATAATAAAATAATTGTCATTCATGATTGAGTGGCGAATAGACATTATATTCAGTGTCAATAAAAACAGATTTACAAGACATTAATGAGATCATTTCTCGTTTTATGGAAAATGATAATTTATTTTATTTTTTTCTTTTAATATATAAAAGCAAAATTTTCTTAATTATTTATTATTTTATTTTTCGATTTTCAATATTATATAAAAAAAAATATAATCCTTTAATTATTACATTATTATTATTTTTATTATTATTATTATTATTACTATTACCATTATTATTATTATTATTATTATTATTATTATATTTCAATTACTCTCTAAATTTGAATTAGTTCAATTTTTATATACTAATTCAAATTTAGAGAGTAAATAAAATTATAATTTTAAGAAAAAAAAAAAAAAAAAAATTATCCAATATAGAAAATTTAATTTTCTTCTTTGAATAGTAAACGCGATTTGTTTCGATATGACCTAATTATTTTAGTATATATACACCAATCTTTACAACTTTCGATCAAAATCATTCGTGCGTTCCAAAATGAAAGGAATTTTATCATTATAAATGTGAAACTATTTTTGCTATAAAAAAAAAAAGAAAGAACTTGATTATTTTTAACTGTATATCTATTTTTTTTGAAAAAAACGAAATTATATAAAAAAAAATTTTTTTTTTGTTTCTTAATTCATAAAATGACAATGGAAAAAATCATTTTTTATCCGAAAAAAAAAATTAAATTTTTCTCATATTATAATATCATCATTTACAATATATCGCTCTTGTCACGATCGCTCACGATGATTCAGCAAACATAAGTATAACCTAATTTTATTTTCAATATATCACAAATATTGTTCTTTTCAATTTTCTGTGAAATTCAAATTTAATCGCGATAAGAAATTATTAATAATATTTTCCATTTCAAAAAAAAAAAAAAAAAAAAAAAAAAAGGAAATTACTAACAAAAAAGAAAATTATGTAAAATTGAAACTAGAACTTCGAAAAAAAGGGGAGAATCCACAATATTGTGAAGAAAAATATTTTCTGTGGAAAATTATATATATTAATAATTTTCCATTTCAAAAAAAAAGGAAATTACTAACAAAAAAGAAAATTATGTAAAATTAAAACTAGAATTTCGAAAAAAAGGGAAAATCCACAATATTGTGAAGAAAAATATTTTCTGTGGAAAATTATATGGAATCTGAAGAGAATATATATATATATATATATATATATATATATATATATTTTTTTTTTTGGAAAAATAAGAAGAAATCCATGGTCGTTTTCGCTTCAGTGACCTCAGTCTTGGTTCAGCTACTCTCTTGAATTCCTTTGTTTAATGCCTTATTGCGATATATTTTAACGCGGTGCACCCGGTCTTGTTGCTATAGCGACTCATCTCTTTCGCTCTCGTTTTATATATACAAAAGTAGTCGACGAAATTGCAGCCAAAGCAGCAGCTGTCAACTCTGTCATTCTCGATCTAAACCCAAAAATATTCCTCTCAGTTTTGTGTCGTAGTCGTCGTTTTCGTCATTCTAAGTCTAAATACTCGCGAGAGACTCAAAAGAGAATATATTGAGTTTTCCTGAGTCTTTTCCACAATATACTGATTCAACTGACACGAGAATTTCTCCCAGCTTCATGGTGGTCCAATTTTTTTTTTTTTTTTTTTTTCTAAAAAAATTATTGTCAATTAATTTTTTAATATATTGAGAGAAAAAAAAAATTATTTTCTATTAAAAAGGAGACAGAGAGGGAGAGAGAGAGAGAGAGACTTTTTCCGATTGTAATTTTAATATCCGTCAAAAATAGACCCCTTAAAACTAGACACACGAATGAACGCGAGTCGCGAATATCCGGCGGATATCCGCAAAATATGGTGTACATGGATCTTCTTCGAACGACACCCTATCCAATCGCGTGGCTTTATATATATTTATATATATATATAAAATACAAGAGGGGAACTTTCATGCGTAGGCGCACTTACACGTGGTTACGCCTGCAATTCAAGTGAAACTTTACCTCACCTCTCTCTGTCTAAATGAAAAAAAAAAATAAAAAAAATTTCCTCTCAAAAGATTTATTTCATTGACGACAAAAAAAATGATCACAGGAAACAATAAATTTTAATCTACCTTTAATAAATTTTCCCATAAGACTTTATAGATCAAAAAATTATTTGAAAAAAATAATTTAATTTGCCAAAAAAATGAAACGAAATTTTAATCTATACCTTTAATAAATTTTCCCACAAAAAATTTATAGATCAAAAAATTATTTGAAAAAAATAATTTAATTTGCCAAAAAATGAAACGAAATTTTAATCTACTTTTAATAAATTTTCTCATAATAATTTATAGATCAAAAAATTATTTGAAAAAAATAATTTTATTTGCCAAAAAAAATTATTTGAAAAAAATAATTTAATTTGCCAAAAAAATGAAACGAAATTTTAATCTACCTTTAATAAATTTTCCCACAAAAAATTTATAGATCAAAAAATTATTTGAAAAAAATAATTTAATTTGCCAAAAAATGAAACGAAATTTTAATCTACTTTTAATAAATTTTCTCATAATAATTTATAGATCAAAAAATTATTTGAAAAAAATAATTTTATTTGCCAAAAAAAATTATTTGAAAAAAATAAATTAATTTGCCAAAAAAATGAAACGAAATTTTAATTATACCTTTAATAAATTTTCCCATAAAAATTTATACAGCAAAAAATTATTTGAAAAAAATAATTTAATTTGCCAAAAAATGAAACAAAAAAGTAAGGATCACATTTTTTTTTTTTTTTTTAATTTACAATGATGAAAATGTACCAAATTTTTTTCTTTTTTCCCCAAATCGATTTTTTCTCTTTATAAAAATTAAAAAAAAGGTCTGCGAGAATTTCTTTTTTTTTTACTTTATATATATATAGAAAATAATTGTCTGGTAAATTTTGAATAGCCAGCGTATAAGACTAAAAATTTTCAAAAAAAAACAATTAACATTTTTTTTAAAAAAAATTTTAATTGAAAATTATATTCAAAAGATTTTTTTTGTAATTTTTTTCTTTTTAGAGAAAAAAAAAAATTCAAATTTTCAAAAAACAATTAATTTTTTTAAATTTTTAATTGTTGAAAATTATTTTTAAAAAATTTTTTGTTTAAATTTTTTTTTTTTAAAGACAATATTAAAGTAAAAAAAAAAAACATTCCCGCAGGCGTGAATTAATTGAATTGCAAAATTCGAACGGCACAACAAGAATAAAATGTCGCGTTGTCTCTTGTTTAATTGAAAATATAGAAGGACTTGTACGCTCGTAAGTTCTTTCGACAATCTTGGAAATAAATAATGTTCAAGAGTGCAAGTGCCAAGGGAACAGTTACGACTCAAAGGAGCCATTATGTTAAATTTTGCAGTGTCTTTTATATAAAGTCTCATGTGATCATTAAATACGATCCACTTGAGAGAGAAAGAGAGAGAGAGAGAAAATGATGGAGGGGGGGGAACGCGAATTAAAATTGTTTTAAAATTAAAAATCAACCACAAAAAGAGATGAACATTTTCATTTTAAATAAAATCGCAAAAATTTAATTAAAAATATTTCATAAATTTATAATATATAATATTAATTTTATTATTATATTAATGTTTATCAATATTATCTATTAATATTAATTAATTAATTTAATGCAAAATAATGCAAATAAAAAAAATATATAATTATGATATTTTCATTAATTTATAATTTATTTATTATCGAAATTTAATCAGACAATTAATTTCAAACGACAATTGAATAGAAAATTTCGAAATATATAATTTCAATGCTCTATACATAATTTTTTATTTTTTTTTGTTTTTAAAATTTTTTATACACGATTTTATATTTTATAAAATTGTGTAAATTATAGAAATATATAATATTATTATAAATTGCTTTTTTTTATTTATAAAATATAAATTAATAAGCATTATAAAAATTAAATACACAATTTTTTTTTTTAATTTTAAAATTTTCATTGCCTTAAACACAAAAAAAATATCCTTTACTGAAAAGTCATGAAATAAATCATTTTTTTTTGGCAAATTTATCTTTTATTTTTTTTAAACCTTCTTCGTGTTATATATTTTTAGGGATTCCTCATTTCACATATGCTACTGCACGTATATGGACATAGCTACATATGTAACGTATTTTTTTTTATGCATGTCAAAAAAATTACATGTTTTACATTTGCGATTTTAATTTCAATTTTAATTTTTTAATGTTTTTTAAATTAAAATTTTTTTTTTTTATTTAAAAAATGTAACAATTTTCTTCTATACGAAGGCTAAAGTAAAATAAATAATTTTAAAAATCAATTGAAATGAGGAAATGAAAAAAAAAAATTAATTGTTTTAACTGTAAGTAACGATTGTTTCAAAGAAATTTAATAATGATGCCAATTTTCTACAAATATAATTACAAATAATTATATTATTTAAATTTGCATTATCAATTTTTCTCGAAAAAAAAGAAAAATATTCAATAAAAATGCCAGAAATTATTTTTTTCCAAATCATTTGGTAAAATAAAAAAAAAAAAAATAGAGTTTGATAAAAAATTCAATTGTCGTATGCTAGCAATTTTCTGTTTAATTTTTTATAATAAATTATATAAAATCGATAAACTTGTATATTATAGAATATATATTATATTCGAATTAAATAATAATAATAATAATAATAATAAAAACAATAATAATTAATAATAATAATGAATATTAATTAATATTATTATTATATTAATAATACAGTAGAATTAAAAAAATATCAAAAGTTAATTTCCGAATAATGTCATTATCGCGTTTTACGTTAATTATTTATTATTTATTTAAAAAAATCTAATTCAAAAAATTTATGAAATTTGCGAAATATTCAAAAAAAAAGAAAGTATTAATTTGTTTAAAAAAGAGAAAAAAAATTTCAAGTCGTAGACGGTGAGTGTGCAAATAAAAATAGTCTGTTGCCCCTTTAGACGTAAGTACCCACCCAAACATGAGTCATTTCTTTTTTTTTTTTTTTCCTAAACAATCGAAGTTGTAATAATTTAAAAAATCAGAAACTAAAGAAAAGTGCAAAAAAAAATCTAGTCATAATAATTTCTTACTACAATGAAAATAAAAAATTATTTCCGCATTTTTTTTTTAAATCATTCCTTGTTTGTTTCTTTTTTTTTTGACAATTTGACGCGATTTTTTTTACCGATTTCTCACAAAGAGCTGATATGGAGAGTTATCAAAAAAAGAGAGAAAAAAAAGAGAAAAAGTCGACTACTGTATAACGAGCTTGAAACAAACACATACCGCGTAATTCAAATAAATGCTCCACTGATTTTCCATAATTTCTTCGAGATTAGTGGTGAGCCGTTTCCCTCTTTAATAAGCCCATTAGTTCCATTCGATCGAGTGTACATTGTTGTAAAATATGATTGCAATTTAATAGCTTCAAAGTCACGAAACCAACTTTTTTTTTAATATATATATATACCTACAAACTTGATCTAAAAATTCTCTGATCCAATTCCAAAATTAAAATTGAACGTGTTATAATATTAATATTTATTATTTGCATTTTGTATTTCAACAAAAATTTTTGTTTTTAAATTTACTGTTTTTTATAATCTTTCAAGTTTTATTTATTATTCTTCTAAAAAAAAATATTATATAACCTATTACGTAATAAAAAATAAAAAAAAAAAATTTTTATGCAAATTTTCTGTTTTATAATAATAATAATAAAAATAATAACAATAAAATAAAAAAATTATTATTGTTATAATTATTATAATAATTGTTATTATTATTTATTTATTATTATTGTTTATTAATTATTATTTATTAATTATTGTTTATTAATTATTATTATTAGTTTTATTAATTTTATTATTATTATCATTATTTATTATTACAAGCTTTCAAGTTGAATAATAAAATAATAGCAAAAAAGAAAAAAATTCTCGAAAAAAAAAAAATGAACTAGAAATAAATTCAAATAAAATCGAATTCTAGACTAATATGAAAGAAACTTTTAGAAACTGTGTCAACGTCCTTGAATCTGATCAGATTTTTCCATGCGAGTGATTCAACTTTATTGTACCGAATCCCCAAGACCAGTGAATTGAAATCTTAAGTAAAACACTCCCGGACGTTTGATTACGTTCCTGCACGAAGAGTGAAATACAAGTCACGTTTATATATATATATATATATATGGCACATGATTGCATGTTCGCTACAAAATCAAAGAATACATATATACATATATGTATTCTCAAAGAATATTGTCGTCTCTTTCTTTTTTTTCTGAAGGGCGTCGAATTCGCATTGCAAGAACAAAAGTTAAAAAGAAGAATAATAATAATAATAAAAATAACGGATTCGCATATATATATATATGAGATATTCGCTTCGCATTATTAATTATATATTATTATTCCCATCACGCGATGCTTACGTTCTTATTTCGTCCAGCCGGAAAGTATGTTTTCATATTTAGTTTGTAATTTTACTGGTCGAACTTGAGAAAAAAAATTTTTTTTTCATCAAAAATTATTTTAATTTAAAAAAAAAGTTTATGAAAAAATTTTTAATTTTGGAAAAAAAATATCGAATAGACTAAAAGAAGAAAAATAGAGTTCTATTTTTCAAATTAAAAAATGTTTTCATTTAAAAAAAAAAGAAAATTATTTCATTTTTTTAATTCGAAAAAAATGAAATAATTTTTAGTGTAGAAAAAATAAAAACTTAATTTTTCATGTTAAATTGTGAGAAACTTGAAGAAGAAGAAGAAGAAGAAAAAAATCCTTTCAGGTTTACTTCCTAGAAGCCATAAACTCTTAAGAATCAAGATATCGACAGGATTGGTTTCCCATTAAGACTTGCCTTATAAAGAGAAGAGATTGAAAATTGGATAAACTAAATAAACAAAAGGTAAAGACTCCTCTCTTCAGAAACTCATTTTACGTAGTTCTTAACGAACTCTCTTTTCTTCTTGAAGAGTTCTTGAGAGCTACTATACGAAAGATTAAAATCAAAAGGAAACTACACTTCTTCTTTTTTTTTTTCTCGATTATAAAACCGCCAGGCATCGATATGAGAAAAGGAAGTGACGTGACGCGGAAATCTTTAAACGAGAAAAATATTCGTTTCCTAATTTTTTCTCTTCAAAGTATTTTTCAATTTTTTTTTTTTCGATTTTATATTATATAAATAATATAATAATAAACTAAAATAAATAAATTATAAAAATTATTTATTTATTAGTGAAAAAAAAATATTTTCATTTCCTCCCACCCACCAAAAAAAAAAAAAGATTTTATTGAAAATACTGAAAAAAATTGTTCACACCCAAAGAAATATTTTACTGGCGTTATAATTGAGAAAAAAAATTTTATTTCAAGCAAATAAAAATTTGTCCCACTAATAAAATTTTTTTTTGTTTCAAATAAAAGAATTTATTTAGCATAAATAAAATTATATTTTGCGCAAATAAAATTTTTATATAACTCAAATAAAATTTATTTTGAAACAAATAAATATTTATTTGCCTCTGAGAACAAATATTTATTTTCTCTCCCCAAAAAAAAAGATTTTATCAAAAAGAAACTAATTTTTTTTCTCCAAATAGAAAAAAAAAAATTATTAGTGAAAATATTTTCTTTTTGGAAAAAATAAAATTTTGTTTTTTTTTCAGCTTGGAACAATTCGAAAAATTGTATTTTATTATCAAAGAAAGAAGGTTAGTTTTTTTTTTTTTTTCTTTGGGAGTAGGAAAAAGCAAATCACTCACCAAAAAATCGACAATGAAGATAAGGTAGCAACAACTGGCAGCGTACACAATATCCTTCTATCCTTGTCGACACTATAGGAGGCACTCTCAAGAATTTTCAGATAGTACATGAATCACCACTAGATGATGAATCTCATTGAACGAGGAACTAAAATTCTCGATTCTAATCGTGTGGATTCTGGTTGAATGATGGTGAAATATCCTCGCAAATGTGAATCGTGGAAGTAACTATTAATACCCATCAATAAAGAGACAAAACCGAGCGTTAGAGAGAGAGAAAGAGAACGAGATTAAAAATTCATCGAGAGAATAATCATTCTTTCCGACACAAATCTATGAATATTTTTCTTTTAATTTTTTTTTTTTTTTTTAAAAATAATTGCAAAGAGAATGGCTTCTGTCAGCCAACTTGGCAAGCGGATGACGAACAAGTGAATGGTCTGGACTTGTTCGCCCTATGAAAGAAGAAAGAGGAGGGCAAATACAGTGGGCAGTGAGGCATGCCCTCGAGAAGTGCGATGCACCACTGTTTATATATATATATATATACACAAATATATTCCAGTGCATCATTAAATTCGTTCACAAAATAATAATTCCATTATTTACCAAAAAAAAATCGTTCTTCAAAAAATTGTTTTAATTTTGAAGAAACCAGAAATGCAAAAAAAATTCTAAATTATAAACTAGATAATAATTTTCACCTCCAGAGATGATTTTGTTTCTAAGAAGTAATTTTCTATGGCACTGAAAGTTTTATTAAAGTCATAAAGTTTCCTGAAAACTGAGGACTTGCATTATATTTCGTTTCCTGGGAAAATGCATATTTCTCGGAAGAGCACAAGAAACAAAAAAAAAAAAATAATAATAATTGAATATACAAAGAATAAATGTTTAAAAAAAAAACTCTTAGTCATAAGTTACATAAATTACGCCAACGGAAGCGATTTATTTTATCTTCCATTTAAATTTGTTGACAATAGTTAGATAATAAAAAGTTTTTTGATTCAAAGAATTTTAAATTTTCATTTAGACAATTTTTTTTTTTGAGAAAAATATAATTTTTTGATTTCGCTGGTAAATTTTCTCCAATTTTTCTTATTTCGTTGCTTTTTTATTTGGATTAAAATTGTTAAAACACGAAACTTTTTTGACTCGTTCTCTAAAATCCTCTAATTACGAGAGGGGAACGAGGACGAGAAACGCGATTAGGCCAGAAACAGAAGAGAAAAGAGAATTAGCGACCATTGTTTGTGAAACGAAATTTCTCGTTCTGCTTCGCCAAGGTCTATTCATTGTGTGTGTATATATGTGGGAAACACATTTGGCAACGAGAAAAAAAAATGAGAGAAAGAGAGAGAGATTGTCACCAATTGCTTCGTAAGCTCGCGGCAATTATTATCGAACACAACGAGAATTGTGGCACGCGTCAGTCTTTTCGTTTATTCAAATTCAAACTCAATTAAAAATACTTGAAAATCGTTAATTAAATTCTCTACCACAAAAGTCTATTATTATTTTTTTTAATACTAGAAAATATCAAATTTTGAATTTAAAAAAAAGGATAATTTCCTTTAGTGTAAAATGGAGAAATGTTTGAATTGAAAGTCACGCCATTGACCACAGGTATTTCCTCCTGAATCCGACCCTGTAGTCAAGATACAGAGCGTAACTTAACTACAGAAGAACGCTTAACACAATTCTGCCATCCAAATGAAAAATGTACTACAATTTTTTCTTTTTCTTTGCAATAATATTCATTATTAAAAAAAAAATAAAAGAAAAACCAAATTCATCTATACTTTGTAATTAAAAATGCAAATAGTAATAGAAAATTAATTACTTCTTTTTTCCAAAACGCGATTTAAATTTTTTTTCTTTTCTCACCGCGGTTAAAATAATTTCAATTTTTTTTTTAAAAAACTTTTTTTCATAAAAAATTTTATTTCACTTTTTCGATGTGAAAATTTAAAGTAATAGAAAAAAAAGGAATTACTCACGTGAATTCGTTTCAATTAAGTCATAGAGAATGGCAGCAGCTTTCTTTTCGTCAATGCAATCCCAAAATCCATCGCAGGCTATTATCAAAAAATCCTCACTTCCATCGAACGGAACTTTGAGAATTTCCGGTTCACTTGAGATGCATGGTTTATATTGTTTGTCACCTAAAATCAAAATCATAAATTAGTTTTTCTATAAATAAATAAATAAAAAAAAAATTACAACTTTTTATTATTAACACCAAAATTTTATTTTTGAAATTAATTATTATTATTCACTAATTATTTATTTTGGTTTTGATTATATTTTTTCCAAATCTCTATTTAATTTTTATTAAAATTTTATTGAAAAATAAATTTTTCCCATTATTGTAAATAAAAAAAAAATTAAGTCACTGTTACAGTCTGATACGGGGAAATTAATATTAATTGGAAATATTTTTAATATTAATGAGAATAAACATTTTGTGCCAGCATCAACAAAAGGTGCTTTTAGAGGAGACTATATATCTATACACTTTAAAAACACGCAAGTGAAGTAGAATCAGTATTCAAGACAGTCATAATTAAGTTTAATCACCTAATTAATGAATGTGAGGCTGATCTACATAATGGCGCCAAAGTAGCGTGGGCGCTTCCGGTTATTACATTACATATTTCAACATACTTTTTTTTTTCTTTTTCTATATATATATTTATATTTTTGATAATAGAATTTCCCCCCCCAAAAAAAATTGTGATTCTCCAAAAATATTTATTTTTGATAAAAGAATTTATTTTTCAAAACAATAGTGGAGAAAGCATAAGAAAAAAAAAAAAAAGTGTTTTTTTGAAGATTCATTGAGATATTTTTGTGAGACGACTAGTGAAATTAAATAACCTAATCAAATTTGATTAAAGGATAGTTGCACGTAGTATTGTGTCAGCCGTTTGCAATGGAAGCCAACAGGATACTCGACACGCGTCCAGAATTTTCACGCGACCCTAAATGGTAGTGTGGACGATTGTGTCTGGTCCAATGGTTACCCTACTTGGTTGCCACTTCCTCGTACGGTTGTTTCAAACAAAATCATATATATATATATATATATATTGTTCGAGGGTTAGCTGACTCACATTTTGTCCCCCTTTCAAATAATAATAATAATTAATAAGTACCTCATTTGTAATAAACCTTGCTAATTTATCAATTTCTCAAATCTCTCATTCTTGTCAATTTTTTTTTTTCAGAATAAAAATTTCTAATTCATTTAAATATTATTTATAGAAAATAAAAAATTACTAAATAATAAATTTTTATTATTTTAAATTCTATGTATAATTTTTTTTTTAAAAAATAATTATTTAGAACCAGAAGAATGAAAAAAAGTGCATAAAAAAATCTCAAAGAATGAATTATTTTTTGAAATAAATTTTAGAGTACAGAAAAAGTTTTTTTTTTAAATTTATTTGAAAAATGGGTCTCATGTTCTTATATATAAAGTTACAATTTCCTCGAGAGAAATTACTGAAACGTAAAATAATAAAGAGACAGAAACTTTCTTAGGAAGTGTCAAAAAGTATTGTAAACCACAAAACCGCGAAGACGAGAGAACTCGTTTGGAAAAAAAAATATATATATATAAAATCAACTTTTCAGCCATTGAAATTTAATTTTATAATTAAAAATTTAAAATTTAATTAAATTAAAAAATTAACATTAGAGAAAATTTTTCATAAAATAAAATTTTCAAATAAAAATATTGAATATTTTAAATTATTATAATTGTTATTTGCAAATAATTGAAAATCGATAAAAATGAAACGAGTGTTGCCATCTGTGGAGTGAATAAAGTTTTCTCAAGCCAAACAGATGCTTGGAGTATTCTCTTTTTTTTTAAAAAAAAAAAATAGAAGTAAATCAAGTACGCAGCAGGCGAGAAATTTTGAAATATTTCTCATTATTTAATGAAAATAAATTTTACCGAAAACTAAATTTTTAATTTGACAGATAAAACTAAATTTTTCGAGCGATTTGTGTTCAAGATACTGTAAAGTGAAAAAAAGGAGTGCCGCTTGTAAAATTGTAAAAATCTTTAAGTGAGTTCACGATATATATATATTGTTATATGCAACAAGTTTTTGGTATTTAAAAACTAAATAATTTTCTTTTTATTCTAATATTCATGAAACTTATTTCAATTTTAATTATCCATTTCAATTCAAAATCTTATTTCGATTTTTTATTATCTATTACAATTAAAAATAATTAGAATTTTAATTAAAAATCTATTATTAAAAACTTCTAAACTTTTATTTGCATTTCAAATTGTAATTGTAATTAATTATTTTAATTCAAATTGTAATTTATTTCATAAAATTTAAAAATTATATAAGCCGAAAAAAGAAAATAAAATGTGGAATTTTAAATTGTAATGAAACACCCAATTTATGAAAATGAAAGAGGAAGAGTTAATGCCCAGTTTAATGTCGCTCATGGTTCAACGGCACTTGTTCTCATATATTAAGTTTTAAAATTATCTAATAATTTTCATTTCACGTATTCAGTTATTACAAGAAACAAATTTTTTTTTTTTCTCAAAATATTAAAATTAAAAATATTTTCACTTTTTTAATGAAGTTAAAAAAAATAATTCACTCACCTATTGACCTCGAAACATTGAGATGTCCATTAACTCGCCAAACACCATAGTGAATAACACAGCCTCCCTCCTTCTCGATTCTTTTCATTTCATCCTGTAAAATAGAAACAAAAATTTTATTTTCTAAATTTCAGAAAATTGAAAAATAATTTTAATAATTTTATATTTTGTAAATAATTAAATAAATATTTATTAAATAAATATTTAATAATTCAATAATTTCACAAATATTTCATTATTTCATAAATTATTATTATAACTTCACTGATTCTTTATTAGATATTCAATTATTTTATCTGACAAAATTTTAATATTAAAATAAATTTCAATTTTTTTTTTTTTTTTTTTCTGCAAATATGGCTCTATTGGGAACACAAATTTACAATGATCGTGATTTATTAAAATTTCAAAATTATGACGATTATTTGGATTCATTAGTGACTGATGATGATTATTTTTATTTAAAAAACAAAAAAATTGCACGTGAAATAGTGAAACTTGGTTATCGTAGTAAACAAGAAACTCTATCAAAATTGACATTTAACAAACGTCAAGAAATTGTTCATAATTTAGAATATCCAATTTATAAGCCTTACATTTTGTATTCGGAATTAATAACACCCATTAATTTCCTTCAAATGGAATTGGCTATTCGCGAGAGGGAAAATCGCCTCGGGCATATATCGACAATAATATTTCTCCGCTACTATATTAAATCACAAATCGAAATTTCCGGTTACATTGATTACGCATATCGTTTGGAAATTGAAAATTGGTTATCATTTTTTCATGGTGAAAAAAAATTACAAATTAATCACAATGATTTAGGTTATTATCATGGTAAAAGAAGAAAAACAATTTTAAATAAAACGAAAAATTATCAGCCAATTATTGATAGGAGAAAAAAGTTTTATTTTAAAAATATTCACGATCGTCATTTTATTTATATTAATCCAAATATTTCATTTCCCGGAATTGGAACATATCGAAAAATAATTCATAGCCAAGGATATGAGGATATTATTTTGTATGATCATATTCTTCGCAAGAAATTGTAATTGCAGAATCTTTTGGTATTAAATTTAATGATTATTAAATTGAAATTTTAAAAAATTAACTGTAATTTAATTAATAAACTCTAATAATAAAATTTTTTAATTAATTAAAGTTTCCTTTTTAACGGAGAAAATTGTTATTAAATTGAAATTACTTACTTCTCTGTTTGGTTTATGTGGATTAACGAGTTGAATGGAATTGCCGTCTTTTATTAAAGCGGCTTGTGAATCTCCAGCCCAAGCTATGTACAAAGTTTTGTTTACTAACAAAGCACAAACGGCGGTACTTCCACTGTTAATATTCTAAAAAAAAAACAGAAAATTTGTTTTCATTAAATAAAACAATTAACTAAAATTTATTAATTTATATTGTTTTGTTATTGAAATAAAATGTACCTTTTTAATAAATCGAGCGTCAGTTGTCAAGAAAGCATCTTTTAAGGCATTTTCTGGATCCTTAGGATAATGTGGACTTTCCACTAAATACTGATGAAGATGAGCAGCACAATAAACTGCCGCATCTTGTCCACTATGTCCATCAAATACTGCATAGTAATTTACAATGGAATCATCCTGAAAATGAATTTAATTTTTTAAACACAAAATACAGAATTTTTTTTCAATATTCATTTTTAAATTTTAATTTATTTATTCAATTTATACGGGGAATTAAAATTTTCCTTTTAAATTGAATTTAACAGTAATTATTTAATAATTTCAATAAGACATAAATGTTGGTTTATTTCGAAATTGAATTAAAAATTTGATTTCTATTTTAAAAATTAATAAACTTACTTTAATACTGAACATTGTATTTAAATCATATAAAACAACGGAACGATCTTCCATTTTTCTTCTTGTATTTTTAATAGCATAACATGTTGTTAAAGGCAATGGGGTTGAAGGCGGTGGCGGTAATAAGGCCAAACGACTATTGTCCAAATATCGAAAGCAAATTTGATTTATTTTGCTTATCACTGCTTGCATCAATTTTAAAGGAGCAAATGCTGAAATAAAATTTTATTTAAAATTTAATTATTAAATTCATTTCTAAAAAATAAATAAAAAAAAACATTTTTATTCACTGTTTTTTTTTTTAAATTTGTAGGGAAAAATTATAAAAACTTTGCAATAACAATGAAGAAAATAAATCTAATAAATAAAAAAAAAAATTGAAAATAACAAATTTTCTATTAAATAATTTTTAGAAATTTAAAAATCTGTAAAAAAATTAATTAAAATGAAAAACTTACTATTTTCATAAGGTTTTAGGCCACAATCTTCGGGTTGCGTTCGACATATTGACTTTACTTCATCTATTACTAATTGAACCATGTGTGATTGTAAACTTGGTGGACAGAATCTGAAATTAAAATTATAATTGTAAAACAATTTTTTTTTAAAAAAAGTCTCATTTCTACTTTTTTTGTTAACTAAAAAAAAATATTCTATTATAAAAATGACAAAACTATTTTTATTTCTTTCCTCATAATAAAAAGAATTTTTACGTAATTTTTTAATATCAACTTCAATATTTATTATTTACGTAATTTATCATTATCTAGATATCAGAGATAACACGATTTGCAAAAGTGGGATGAAATCATTTTTTTTGATAATAAAAAGTAATTAACTTTCAATGAATTCAAATTGATTCAATTGACTTTTATAAACGTTTTTCTATATTATTTGAAAGAAAATTTTTTAAATTGTCGAGAATAAAAAAAAATGGCACCAAAAGAAGGAAGATATCAACACGAACGAAATGAAAATCTCGATGAATATTTCAAAGCCATTGGTAAGTTGAGAATATAATTACAATTGTCGAAAAAAAAGAATTAAAACTGCAATTAATTAAATTTAATATTTACAAATAATTAATTACATTTTTTAATTTTTGATCATTTAAATTTTTAATTTAACAAAATTTTAATAATAACAGGAGTTCCCTACATTCCAAGAAAAATGATATTGACTACAAGACCTAATCTAGAGATAAAACAAGAAGAAGACAATAAATGGACCATCAAAACTATTTCTTTACTTCGCACAGTGGAACTTACTTTTACTTTAGGAGAAGAATTCATAGAATCTATGCCATCAGGCGTTATTTTAAAAGTATTATTATTTATTAGTAGTTTAAAAAAAAGAAAGAAAAAAAATTAAAAATAGATTTTGTTTTTGTTTTGTCTAAATTTAATCATTTTTTTTTTAATTTTCACGGGGATTATTTTTTAATTAGTTTTTTTTTACAGAATGTTGCAAAAATTGAAGACGATTGCATTGTGATTTCTTCAATAGGACCAAATGATGAAAAGACTGAACGCAAATATGAATTTAAGGAAGACGAAGTGATTTTGGTAGAAAATTAAATTAAAAAAAAAATATATATATGTTTTTTTAAAAATAAATTATATTCACTGATATCGTAAATTTTAAAGTGCTTAAAGAAGCATTTACTTTCATTTCAGATCATGATACACGAGCAGAGTGGTCAGGTTGCAAAACGTTACTTCAAGAAGATTCCATAATACCACATAAAACAAGAATATACACGTTTCGAGCTGTTTTATAAATTGAAATGTTACGCTTCTCGATTTTGCACAATGGCTGAATTATAATTATTTTATATATTTAAAGAAATTATAAATTTTTTTTTTTCTTCAAATTTTTTAAAACTATGTTAAGAATTTTTTCAAAAATAATAAACAATTCTAATTATAAATTTAAACTTTTTTTCATTCTCATTAGAGGGTGAAAGTATGGCTTATTAACATAATTATTCAAATTTTTGAAAAGAGAGAAATCCTTTCAATTAACAGTTCCGTTGAAATAACAATTTTCATTAAAATACATAAAGCAAACGTAAAAAAAAACGTATTTACTTAATAATAAAAACTAATTAGAAAAATAAATATTTGTTCATTATAGAAATATTTATGAAAATATAAAAAATTTCACTTTATAACTATATAACAATGAAAAACTATTTCTCTTATTAATATTTATAACAAAGATGAGTTTCTCTATCTTTGTGGATAAAAATTAAATTTACTATGACTCATTGATAAGAATTAGATAATATATATATATATATATATATATATTGAAATAATTCACTAACTACATCGGTGTCACTTACTTTTGATTGAGGTATTGAAGAGTCATATCGATGACTTCACCCACAATTTCGCCTTCAGTAACATCATATCCGCACATTTTTACAGGGAGTTGATCATCGGGATTTAAATTTGAGATGAAATTATTAAAAAAACACTGATATGAGCCAAGATAATCGCCTTCTTCAATATCCACAGACATTTTGCTTATTTTAGCCACAAAATAGTAAAAGCAAAAAAAAAAAAAAAAACAACTTGTCACACAAAACGGTTACACTGAATTCTCTTGTTTTTTTTTTTTAAATACTATCGCTATAATTCCCGATGAAATTAAAATAAAATAGACGCTTCCACTACAATTTTTTTTCTTTTGTTTTTACTTGCACCAAATACAACTCGATTTTTTTTTAGGTTACGTCACTCATTCATCGAAAGAATATAATCTTGTCCGCGTGAATTTCACCACGAAGTATTACAAGTCCGCGTGTTTTCAACACTATAGAACAAAATTCACAGTCAAAACAACTCACATTTACTTTTTTTTCCTCTCTTTTTTTTTTTCTTTTCTTTTCTTTGCGTGTATTAAAAGAGAGCTGGCGATGCCAATTGTTGGGCGCGCTAAAAACCGTTTCAACTATTACGTTGAGTTACGTTGAGTCGCGGTAACTTTTGAAAACTAAACTTACGTAACTTTCAGTAAATTACACTTTTCTTTTTGTAATTTTAAAAATTCGACAAAGATTTATTTTTTGTTATCCGTTTTCTTTTTTTTTTAATTATTTATATAAATTGAAAAAACGTAACTTTCCAATCTTGCCTAATTGTATAGAAAATAATAACAAAAATATAATTTTTTTTTTTTTAGTTTATATATTTAAAAAGTAGTCAAGATTTGTTGTACTTCTAATAAAATGCATACAAGTAATGCACTCATACAAATCCAGTCACTCGTTCCTTAAAATTACAATTAGAACTTATTCCAAAGTAATATTTACAATTTGTAATATAGATTATCTAAATAAGAAAATTATAATTCTTAAATAACACAAATTAATTGAAATACATATACCAAACGCAAAATGAAAAAAAAAAAAAAAAAAAACTAAAATCCTTGTCATACTCTATTTTTGTAAATAACAAAATTAGATTTTAAATCACAGAATATTGAAATCTGACGATTATTTTTCGATGAATATTAAATGGATTAATTTTTCGTTATTTTGACACTAATATTGAATTTGTGCATTTTTTTTCTATTTTAAATTATTTCTTTGTTCCGAAAATTTTTTAATTGTACAAATAAATTTTCTTTAAACACATTATCGTATAAAAGAAATACGACTTTTTGTTTATCTCGTATTTCCTTAATAACCCGTGAAATTCATATAATATTCACACACTTCAACGTGTGTAAATTAATAAACATTAGAGATATATATATATTTATTTAAATTATTTAAAATTATAAATGACGTTATTTTTAATCAGTCTTTAATCGTTTCGGTGTTGGTTCACTGTTTTGTGAATTAGAATCTTCGGAAAATCCTAAATGCGATGAGAATTCAGTTATTCCTTGAGAATCACTGACTGTTGAGAAACCTAAAAAAAAACAAGATCGTTATTATCTTTTTCGAATTTTGTTGATTTTATTAAAATAAAATAATTTACATGTATTTGAATCTTCTGTGAGTCCAAAATTTGAATTTGAAGAATCCAAACCTCCTTTCCTCGGTAATCCATTTTCTTTGTCAGCTACTATTTTACTCTTTTTCTTCTGCATTAACAAAATTTATTCCATTCGTTTAAATGGTAAACAAAAATTAATAAGAATAAAAAATATAAATGTAAATAAAAATTAAAAAAAAAAATTAATTAATGTTAAAAAAAATATAAAATAAAATTTAAAGATCTCAGCATCACAGATAACTACTTACTTTTCTTCTTCTAACTTTTTCTTTAATTAATTCAACAATTTTGAAAAATCACTTTCTTCTTCTCTTCTTAATAAAAAAAAAAAAAAAATTCTTCCATTTTCATTGAATATAAAATAAACTTATAAAAACTGAATTCTATTTTTAAGTAAAACAATACAAAAAATATATATTTTTCATAATGTAAAAAATAGTAAAATAAATGTATTAAAATTTTTCCTGTAGATACTGTCTAAAAACTTTATTTTCTTTTCTAAAACAAGAAACGACGTTTCGTTCCCAAATATTTAAAAAAAAAACGTAATTCTAGATTTAAAAAAATATTATTTCAACAATATTAAGCACAAGAAAATATTGTTTGAAATATAAACAAAAAACAATAAATAATACTATATAGTGAAAAAATGATTTAAAAATTGAAAAAAAATAAATAAATAAAACTCACTTGCTCAAGCGTCGAAATTGGAACCCATTTATAAATTTTCATTGTTGTTTCTCCTATGGTCACCCATTTTTTTTCCCTGGAAAATTAAAATCACAAATGTTATAAATAAACAATTATTTGAAAAACATGAGGAAAAAAAAATTGAAAAAATTTGTGAGAAAAAAAAACAATTGTTTTCATTACCAGTGTCTAACTTTGTCCACAACTTGCATAACACGTTTAACATCATCTTTAGCTCGACTTCGAGTTTCTGCACGTATAGACCGAGACATCATGATATTTATTATTGAAAAATACGTGAAACAGAATAATTTTCTCACTTTATTAATTCAATTTTTATAGAATAAATTCCGAGACGTAAAGAGGTTAGAAAAGTGACAGTGCTTGGAATTCGTTTACGTACTTCGCCATTTTTATTAGAAAGTTTTTTCACTTTAATAGAACCAATCACAAGCAAATATTTCTCTTCGTTCCATATTTTCATTGGTTTCCCTAAACAAGAATGGGGGAACGGCGTCTTATTGAAATCTCCAATCACATTACAAAATTCCCATGATTGTCAGGGTTGGGTTACAAATTCAAAAAAACAGTGTTGCCAATCAAAAAAGCGCGCGATTTAAAATATTTCAAAATGTTTTTCTCTTTTTTTTGCGGTAATTTATTTTCAAAGTACAAATAAATAAATTTTTATATTTTATTTAATAAAAATTATATAATTATATAATTATATAATTACAAATATAGAATAGTATAAAAATTCTAATACTTGCAAAATATAAAATTGATAAATAAAATGAAAAACAATTACAAGAAGGCTAATAAATTTTTTTACGACTGTAAATAATGAATTGATTTTTTTCTTTTATGATTTACTATATATATATATATACATACCTGTGTGTCCACTTGAGGTATAAGTGGAAAGTTACATGTTTCTGCGCCGACTCACTTTGAAATTATATTTCACTGTTCCACTTTATAAAAAAAAATCGCGCCGTTTCCTTGGAAACATTTGGTCATTATAAGACAAACTCTTCAAAAGAATTGAACGAAAAAAACGAAAAAAAAAGGGAAAATTTAATATTTAAATTCAAAATGTCAATTAATACGACACCTATTTTTTATCTCAATTTGGGTGGCGAAATGTTATATATTTTACGACAAAGATTAAAAGCACAGAGGATCGATGTTGAGAAATCTATTCAAGGCTAGAAATTAATTTATTATTCAAAACGCACAACTGGCACAAATAATGATTTTTGCACTAAAATTGTTTTTCTTCTTTTTAGAAAACAAATTTTCTTTTTTTAATATAGAAACTTTTAATAAAATTTTAATTATTTTCAATTTAAATGAAATTTTATAATTTGAATTGTTAAAAAATATTTTTTTTTTTTGAGAGAATAATGTAAATAAAAAAAATTTTATTTACAGTTCTTGATGATGTAACTCTCGCCTTGTTGGATCCTAAAACACTTTCGTTAATTTTTGAAAAAACCCCATTAATGGACCTTGCTTCGATTCGTTCTATTTTAGAGAGTGTTATTCTCTGTTCAATAATGAAATTAGATGGAAACAGTATGAATAAATTATTTGAATTAATGTACACAATGGTGAAATATCAATTGACAACTGCAACTGGACCAAGGGAAGTTGTTTTAATAACATTAAATCACACTGATGCAATGCGAGATATGGTTACTGATGAAAATGCCCACCAATGCGTTAGTTTAGTTCATCAAATGATAATCGATGTAAGTATTAAAAAATTTAAATAAGAATTTTATTTTAAAAATTAATAATAAAAAAAAAAAAAAATACAGTTATATTCAAATCTAACGTACGAGGAAATATGGAAAGTGAGAAACGAATGTTTACAAGTTTTAAATCCAATAAAAATACGAATGACAATTCTTTTGAGACTCGGTCTTCAAAATGAAAATGCCACCTTCAATATTGGAAAACAAACTTATAACGAGAGATACGAACAAAAAAGGTCACAAATTGGTAATTTAAAATTAACAGACGTTAATTGCGATGAAACAAAATTTGGCTCTTTCGAACTTTTTGGCAATCGAATCACTTTATTGGGAAGAAATATGTAAGTATATATATTTATTTTTGAAAAAAAAATTGATTTCATTATTATTAAAAAATTAAATTTAGATACTGTCCTTCGTATGGAAATATTCCAAAATCAACATTGAAACCATGTTTAAAACGAAATAGTCGACAATTAATGACCGATTCAGGATCTAAAGCTGAACTTGGAATGCTTGCATTACAATTGGGAACTGAAGAAACAACATATGAAAGGCCATTTAGTTTAAATCTTTATATAAGCGATGAGAATATGAATTCACAAAATGATGGAAATGAATTAAAAGAAAATGAAGAGAAATTAAGTGAAAATAACGCAAGTATTGATAAAGAATACAAAAATAAATTAGAAAATTTGTGCGCTGATTTAAAAGACGAATCAACGAATATCAAACAAACTATGGATCTTCTTAAACTTCTCGACGAAGTTTAATGATTTTTATTTATTTTTTAATTTCTCTAATTTATTCCAATCTTTTTGTACCTTGATTTAAAAAAAAAAAAATTAAGTATTTTATTTACCTGATTTTTATTCCTGTTCGATAATAAACGTCCAGTGTTCATTCGAGATTTGTAATCAAAAAAATCAGTAAAAAATTTTCCATTTTTAATGCAAATATTGTACACTTGTACATTTTGAATAAATGCACATATAATCCAAAAATTATATATTTATTTTTGTTTCTAATTTTTGTTATTTTCACGACAGAGAGAGAGAAAATTTTCAATTTTTCTCCAAATCGAGAATATATTTTAATCCCTGTTTACCATCAAGCTTTAAAGCATTTTCAATTGCTTCCTTATAATTTGAAAATGGAATAATTTTATAAGGTGGTGCAATTAATTTTTTATCTTTGAAATATTTTGCCAGCTCCTCATACATTTTGATTCTTTCATTTGAATTTAAATTCTGTTTATTCCACGCTGTCATCCAAAAACCTTTTACTGTTACGTCCTAAAAAAAAAAAAGAGGAAAACAATTTTTTTTGAAATTTCGTTTCATTAAAAAGAAATTATTAGAAATTTTAATAAAATAGAAATAAAATTACCTTGAAAATTAAAGCCGATGTGGGAATAGTAACAGGCTCACGTGACATTCCACCATAAGTGACCATAACACCACCATGACAAAGATGTCTCAAAACATCAGTTGCATTCTGTCCACCAATGCAATTTAAAGCTAATTTTGGTTGTGATAATTTTTTACTTTTAAATAAATCCGTTTTTCGTAATTCACTTTCCGTTAAAACTTCACTCGCTCCCATTTCTTTGAGTTGTGACTAAAAAATACACATTTTTTTTTTTTAAATTAAGAAAGAGAATAAATAAAAAAAAAAAATTTTTTCTATACCTTTAAATCGGAAATATCAGATCTATCTCTAACGACACTGACATTTTTATAGTTCCATATTTTACAAAGTTGTGTCACTAATTGTCCAACAGCTGAATTTCCACCGTTTTGAATAACTGTATCTCCTGAATTAAGTTGAACAAAATCTTTCAACATTCTATAAGCTGTACATGGATTTACATTTAACATACTCGCTTCAACAGTTCCAATGTCTTTTGGAATTTTCATAAGATCATCAGATTTATAAATTCCTTCCGTTCTCCATGTTCCAATATTTGAAGCATTTGGAACAACTCTATCGCCAATTTTTAAATTCTCAACATTTAATCCAAGATCTATTATTTCACCAACACCTTCATTGCCAGGTACTGCTGGCAATGTTGGTTTACTGGGATATTTCCCCTGAATTGTATTAATATCAGCCGGATTGACAGGCGATAATAACCATTTTACCCTAACCTAAATAATTTAATTATTTTCACGATTTCAACCCAAATAATTAATAATAAAATTATTACCTGATTAATTCCCGGTTTATTTATTTCATCAGTTTGACATTCAAGAACATTGAATGGTTCACCGTATTCTTTGTAAAGTAATATTTTTGACGAAACAACACTCATATTACGAAAAACAAACAATTTTGCCGTTGATTCTGTTAATAATTTAGAAGCAGACATTTTAATATCACTGACAATTACTTTAAGATAATAAAAATATAAAATAACTTCACCGCAGTTGACGGTTGTTTTGTCTTTCCTTCGAGGTTAGGCTGGTTAGGTATCAAATAGCAGACGACATTCTTCTGTTTCATGGCGGGAAAAAATTTGAATTTGAATATTCAAAAATACAGACTCCCAAAAAATACAAATTCAATTAAAATAAATTACGATAAAAAACACCATTTTCTTATTTACAAATAATCTCTTTTTATTAATTATCTTTATTGTACAAAAATTAGATTCAAAAATTTACGAGAAATTAAATTTTCTTTTTACTAAATTGACGAGTTGAAAAATTTTCTATTCAACAAAGAATACAATATAATTATACGTTTTTTTTCTTTTTTTTTTTGCAATCGTCAAATTTTAATTACAAATAAACAAATAGATTATTCACAATCTACAATTCCTTTTCAGAACACTAATAAACTCAATTGGGAATGTCCAAAAAAAAAAAAATAATAAATAAATATATTTCAAAAGAACAAAAATTGTTTTGCAAATTTTTTACTATTGATAATAATATCAATATTTAAATATTTTGTACAATTGGTCCAAAAAAAAAATTGATATATTCTGAGAAATGAAAATATCAAACGTTTTATACAATTATTGAAAAAACTCTCGTTTCAAAACACTGTTAATTCTTTTTTTTTTTTTAAATTGTATAATAATAGATCCCCAATCTTATATTACAAATCTTGAAAGTACATTAGATGCAGGCCTTAATATTATAATTTATCATACATTCACTATCAATTGCGTTAAATATTCCTCATATTTTAAACGTTCACGTGAACGAAATTAAAAATAATTTTTTTTTTTTAAATTAGAATAAACTGAAAGACAATATTTTAAATTTTGTCCTTTTTTTCATTGCATTAATTTATCTGAAATTAATAATATTTGAAATTAAATTTCCTTCAATTAAACGTTTAGAATTGTTGGAATATTAATATTTATATATATATTTATACAGAGAAAAGAAAAGTTTTTTAGAGCCTGGAATTTATTCTAAAAAAAAAAAAAATTCCCACGGTTTATTAGTAAAAAAAAAAGTGTTTTCAATTCATCAAAATATACAACGTTTCTTAATTTTAATTAAGAATAAAATAATTCTTCCAATAAGAAAGCCAATTTTTTATTTCTATCTCGTTAAATAAAATATCAAAACTAGAATTGAAATCAGAATTCATAATTGAATTTCAAAATGAACTAAAATTTGAATTCAATTCGAATTCAAAAAAAAAAAAAATTCCGAGATGGAGATTATTTTCTCTTACTCGTGAAAAAAAAATTAATTAAACGAGAAGAGCATTGAAATTGCAATTCGAAAATGAATTGAAAATCCAGTTGAGCAGCTTAAATATTTTCAATAAGAAAAAGTTTCCGATTAATTAATATATTAATTTTTTTAATTTACCCTTTTTTTTGTAAATTAGAAAAATTGATTCTAAAATCAAGGATCAAGAGAGTCTAGTTTAAAAAAGTGTTTTTAATTTTCTTCTAGATGATAATTCAAATTTTATTATTCAATCTTTTTAATATTATTTTATATTCAACTTGAAGAAATTCACTTTTTTTAACTAGATTTCAGCAACCTACTTTGGTCACATTTTATAAAAACAAAAAAAAAACAAAGGAAGAATATTTAAATTTTCCACTCGATAATAGAAATTTATTCAGGATCGCTTTGGAGTGTCTCGCCATTAGTCAATACCAAAGCATCGTCATCGGCTTCGTTGTAATCAATCGAAATGATGCTTTCTCTTCGTTTCTTTTTGTGAATTCTTTCCTCATCACTACCCGGTACACTTTTGTCTCTCTTCGTCCTATCCCTACCCCTCGTTGTCCTTGTCAACACTTCTTCACCATTAGTCTTACCACTAGATTTCAAATTATTTTTATTATTTTTAGTCCTTAACGTCCTTCGATTAGTGTTTCGTGATGATTCCTCCTCATCGTCACGATCACTTAGCTCTTCATTTTCAACTTTAATAATCAAGGCAGGTGAATCACGTGAGCTTTCATCATTTTGTTCTGTTTCTGATATTCCTTTTAAATCAGTTCTTTCCGATTTTTCATCACTTTCACCACCAACACTTATTGTTGTTGATTTTTCATCAGGCAATGGTGGAGTTCTTGCACCTTTACACAATTCACTTTCTTCATTTTTCAAATCAACACTTTGAACAACAATTTCCTCTGATTCAGTTTTAATTGGCGGTGTATGTGGCGATAGACCGTTTGTCAAATTATTTTCACTTGAATTTGTTTTCAATGATGCATTCTCCTGTTGTAAAAGTGTCACTGATTCGCGGGCCTTACGTAATTCCTGTTGTAAAAAGTATATTGTACTCTGCATTCCCTCAACGTCTTCATCCAAATCTTGGAGAAATTCATCTAATTCTGTTGGGAATTCGTTATTAATTTTAAATTTTGAAATTAGTATTTCAATTTTTTTTTTCGGTAGAAATTATAAAATAACTTACCACTTTGTGATTTTTTCACTTCCTCACTAAAACCTTTTTGAAGTGCAAGTTCACCTTCTAATTTTGCTATTCTCCCACTGGCAATCATTCTTCCTAATTCTTCATTTTCTTGATAAAGCAATCTGCATTTTGCCATTAATCTCTTTCCAGTATTGCTGTAATATTGAAAATAAAATTTAATAAATTTTTAGTAATTATTTCATTTTTTTTTTTTTCCGAAAAATTTCAAAATACCTATCGGGTGTGAATTTCCAAGCACTGAGTTCATTTTGCGTGTCTTCCAATTTTGCTTTTGTTGTTGTCAATTCTTGTCTTAATTTTTGAATTAAAATATTTACAGCAGGATCTAATAAGGCGGATCTCAACGCTGCGGCGGACGGTGCTTGGGCGGCTTTCATTTCAGAAATTTGATTCTATTGGCAATAAAAAGTGCAATTAAATAAAAATTAATTTAATTAATATAAAAACAAAACTTACAACATATTCCTGTAATTCCTGTTCCTTAGAAGCAAGTCTTCTAACTAGAATTTTTTCTCTATGCGATGCTTCAGAATATTGTTGTCTGTACTTCTCTTCTGATTCTCGTAACGAAGAAATTTCGCCTGCAAGAAAATTGTTTTTCAATCTAAAAATCCATTATTTTTTTTCACCTTCAGGCACAATTCCTTATTCCAAATATTTCAAAGAAATGCAAATTTAAAATAAAAAATAAGTTCTGCAAAAAAATGAAAAAGAATCTATTTTCCAAATTCATTGATTATAACTATATGAGAATTGTACCAGAGGTAAAGAAATTGCAAAAATTCGTTTATTACTTTCACTATTTTCTACTCGTAAAAAAAGAAATTAAAAAAAAACGTACACGAATCGCGGCGAATTTGTTATTATTATTTTTTTTTTTTGGAAACGGGATTTTATAGAATAAATGCCTATTGGCTCAATCTACTATTAATAATGTGCGCACTATAAAAGAAGTTTTTTTTTTTTTTTTTTTTAATAGATTAAGATTGATTGCTCTGACAATTGGCATCATTAATTGACGCATACTTTGATATATCTGCTGCTGTTGCAGGCGCCATCGGTTGTGCTCCATCGGTGTTCTGATTTTCTCCCCCAGAGAAATCTGCATAGCTTCCAGCAAACCGATTTTTTTGACATTTTTATAAGAAATTGAGAGAAAAAGGAGAGAAAAAAAAATGTGTACGTGTCTCAGAGAGAAAGAAAGAGAAAAAATTGAATTTTCAAAAGCGTGATTTTTTTTTTTAAAGAAAATATCTTCAGAACTATTTTTCTCTCGTTGCTTTAATCACAAATCACATTATTAAGCACTGGATTTCTTTTTTCTTTGGCACTTGATTTTTATATTTTTTTTTTTTTGAAAAAAACTTTTCTTTTTTATCAAAAATCGTGAAACAATGTGAGAATTTTAAACACCAACACTAGGCACTGAAGAAGCTAATTCCTCGATTATTGAGAAAATTTTTTTAACCACTCACACTAAAATGCTTTGATATGGGGAAACAAATTCACTTCTTTTTTTGCTTTTCACTCTTTTTTTTCTTTTTTTTGCCGACACAACACAAAACACAATCGCTAAAATTCTAAAAAAAAAAAACACTTAAAAACATTTTTCTTAAAATTATTCTTGTGCTCCTCAATCTTTTAAACGCTAGTAATAAGTAATTCTGTGCGAAAAAAAATTCCTATAAATTTTCGCTGAACGTAATTTTTAAATTTTGTTGCAAATTCATTTTTTGTTACAATTTAATTATTTGGAAAAATTTCTATTATAACACTGGAGAATTTTTATCTTGAGAGAAAATAAAAAATCACGTTAAACGAAAATTTGACGAAATTCAGTTTTTTTTCAAAATTCAACAAATTTTCGTGAGAAATGAATGATTTTTGTTTTAAAAATCTATTTCTCGTTTAGAATTTACTCAAATTTTTTTTTCTTTTTTGTTCTCGCACAGATGTGTAAAAAATAAAAAAAATATTTCACAACCAAGAAAAAAAAAAGAAGAAAAACTTAGCGTCTCTAAGAGAGTCTTGCCTCGGAATAGCGAAAGAAACTCATTTATTTATTTATTATTATTATTATTCTTTTTTTTTTTTTTTGAATATTTTTCAGTTTTAAGAAGAAATGTGGGTGAGTGAAATGCTCTCACTCTCATGTGATCTCAGTACCTTCCTGGGCTGCCGCCTGTGCCTCTAGATATTCCACATATAAATCCTGTTCACGCCATTTGGCCACGAACTCGTCCTTTGTCAAGTTGTCCAGTTGTTCAATGATTTTCACACGACGTGGTTGTTTCGGTGAACGAGGACTATTTGGCTTTCCACTTGAAACATCCTGAGGACTCTTAGGCGATGACGGACCCGCCGATTTCACATCATTGCCCTCTTCTGCCATTTTGCTTTATTATTACCCTCTAATAATTGTTTTTTTTTAAAAACTCTAGCGCGCTGATTTTTTCCCTTTTTATTCCCTTAGTTTCTCACACAGGAACATTTGTCTGAAAATAAATACAAATTTTTCTTTCATATCGAATTATTATAATTTGGAGAAACGAAGACTTAAAATATTCAATATAAGAAATAATAATAATATATAGGTATTTAAATATAAATTTAATCGAAAGAAATAGCTCTGTTTTATTTTTATTTCAGAAACTATAAGGTTATGTCAATGGATCGAAATTAAAAATAGTTCCTAATTTACATTTTCAAAATTAAACTACCAAATATTTCAGAAAACATTTTTTTACTATTTCACAATAAAATTGTCCCCAAAAATTTAAATAGAATTTTTTTTTTTTCGCCAAAAAAATATCAAAATAGATAATAATTTTGTCTATATATTAGATCAACATTTTTCAAAGCACTTAAAATGGGGAAAATGGAAAAAAAATCAATTATAATTGAAAGTGGAAATAATCTTAAAATGTTCGTTTTCACGTCAAGTAATTTATATTAAAGTCACTGAAACTTAAAAATGGAAATCACAAGCAAGAACGACGCCATTATTTTCAACATGTCCGTCCAAGATTGTATGGCATCATTCTCTTAATTCAACTGCAAGTGTTTTTAATTAGTCAAACAAAAAAATTATATAATTCAATTAATTATAAAGTATATAACCAAATGGCGTTTCATATTTCATGAACAAATTATTTATACATATGAAAAATAAAAAACCTCTTTGAGATTGATGACTATCGGGGGGATTGTTGTTGAAAGAAAAGTTGTTTTTCTTTTTGTCAATATCAACAATGAATACCTTGTTTTATGTAAAATATCAGCTTGCAAATGTTTTAAACGTTCATTGAGCATTTCCTTATGCATCCTGTGAATACACTGACATTGTATTTTTGATTTCTTTTTTTTTTACACAAGTCACTTTTTAACGACATACACAGAATATATATATATACCAGAAACTATATAGTAACCATAGATTATAAAAACTAGGGAGAAAAGTTGTTCCACATTTCGAGAGTTAATGCATTTAGGAACGCGTATAATCGTTTATTCGATCCACCAATTGTGGCGCGAATTTTAAATTCCCGCCATTTAATTGGTTGGGACTGGGACCGCTTTAATTTAAAAATTTTATTTTTTTTTTTTAATTTTATTAAGAAAAATATTTCAAAAAAAATTTTACAATTATATTTTATAGGAGGATAAAATTTGAGAAGCGGCGTAATAAATTTGTTCGCGATCATCAGTTCCATCTGAAAAAAAACAAAAAATTGAAAAAAATTTAATTAATACTTGTTTAATTTTTCACGTACCTTCTTGAGAAATATCGGGTGGAAAAATTGGTGTTAGACTATAATGAACACCAGTTGTAATTTTTGTAATTCCAACAGTTGACGAAAGTCGAACATTCCACGAAGTAGGTGGGCTTTGAAAAAAAAAAGAATTTTATAAATTTCTAAACAAAATTTTTCTAAATTAAAAATTTATTTTTTTTAAAAAATTAGTTTTTACCCTTCGAAAATTTGTTTAAGAATATCGTCTGGAATTGGAACATTGAGCTTATAAATAGAATTTGCTTCTAATTGTGCAAATGAATCAATTGGCGATTTTTTCGATGTAAATTTATTATAGGCACATTTAAAAATTGATTGTAAATTTCCTGAGGGATAATCAACATGTGTTTGTGCAAGCAATGCAAATTCCAAACAAATGTGAATTTGACTGAGAATTAATAAATTGTTTCTGTAAAAATTTATAAAAATATTTAAATATAATATCAAAAATTAAAAAAGAAAATAATAAAATAAAATACCTAAAATTTTTTACGTCAAATTTTTCATTAATATTTCTTTTTAATTTTTCTTGAAGTTCATGACGATCAATGAGATTTGCACTGAGTAAAATATAAGTGTAATCTCTAATTAATTTTTCAATGCCAATATCAATGAGAATTTCTAATGGTAAACTTCCGGCTAACAATGGAGTTGTCGCTTTTTGTTTCATAATATCAATTATTAATTTGGCAGTTCTAGTTACATTTGAGACATTCATCTAAGGGAAAAATAAATTTTATTTATTGATTATTTTTACTTTTAAATATTTGGATTTTTATACCTGGGGTTTGTAGTCTTTTTTCTCAACTTCTTCAAACACTGCATGAATACAATCCGTTATTATTGGATAATTATCTGAACCTAAAAAATTTAATTATTAGTTGAAAATTTCAAATTTTAATAAAAAAAAAGAATACCTTTTATAACCATCCATAAATAATCAGTAAAATCTAAATTTTGCCTCACGGATAAATCTTCTAAATGTTGTTTCAATTTCAACTCGATTTCCACTTCATTACCAGTATTTTTTTTCAAATAAACATTTTCATTTTCAAGAAAAGAATTATCGCCATTTAATAATCGAGTTAAATTATCCATCACTTCTTCATCAGTCTAAAAAAAAAAATTAAGAATAAATTTTTCTAAACAACGTCTATTAAAAATAATAAAAATTTAATAATTACCTTAACATTAGGATTGAGAAAATTTTCAGGAAATTTTAATGGCATTACACTGTATCTAGAACTCATATTATTTTTTGAATATTCTTCGAGAATTGATAAAAAACAATTTAACAATAAAATTTCCTCCCACAAATTATCCAATGGACTTCCTTTCCATCCTGCTGCAATTTCCATAATCAATGTTTTTGTTGATATAATTGAAGGCGGATAAAATGACAAATTATTCCATTCAATTTCCATGCATAAATAACCTTCGAAATTATTTTTATTAATATCCAAAAAATCGGTAAAAATTTCTTTTGTTCCAAATAATTCATATGTGCAGAAAGTTTCGATTTTTATCTAAAATAAATTTATTTATAGAAAAAAAAAAAATTTTAGAATTTTCTTTTTTATATTTATATATAAAAAATTTTTTTTTAAAATTTATATACTTTATGTGTTTCGTTAGATGATATTTTAAGATGTTCTTTTAAAATATCACTACAGTCGACAATTTCTTTTAATCTTTTTGATTTTTCCATTCGAATTAGTATTGTTTCATGTGACGTATTTCCGATTTTTGTCCCCAATAAAATTGTTTTTTGTTTATCTTCCTGATTACAAATTGCGAGTAATGTCACTCTCCAATCTGGTTTCGAACATTCTAAACATAAATTTAGAATTGTGCTGTAAAAAAAAATATTGATTAAAAAATTTTAAAAAAAAGGAAAAAATTTCATTTAAAAAAAAAAAAAAATTACCGTGCTCTAATTACACTGATTGGAAGATGATATTCTTCTTCCTTTAACCAAAATCTCTTTGCTGGCAATAAAGTTTCACTAAAACTATCTTTTCCAAAAGAATACTCCAATGGTGATCCAGTGAGATTGGAATCTACAATTAGAATATAAAAATAACCTTAATTTTTTTTTTAAATTTTAATATATAGTTTCGAAAAAAACCCTAACCTATTTCACATTCTTCATACGAAACTGTTCTTACTTGAGGAATTTCCATTGGTTTCTAAAAAAAAAAAATTTGTTAAATTTATATTCAACAAAATAATGGAAAAAAGAGGTAAACAATGAAACTGACAGTTTTGTGAAAAATGAGTAAAGGACGATCTTCTATTTCTGGAACAAGACGTTTTATATAAGAAGGACACACTGTGTTTATGGAAAAATTTTGATTTTTCACAAGATCACTAATTACTTGATAATACGACATTTTTTTTTTATTTTCAAAATTAATATTTATGAAGAATTTAAAAGGCCGGCGTCAAAAGTTTAACGTTTTAACTAAAGTATTGTACACACGAAACTTAAGGAGCGTTCACACCTCGATTAGGAACAAATTGAATGCGTAAATTTTATTGGTTGTTCATAAAGAGAATTTAAAAAATATTGGACAAAAATTGGCAAGATTTAAATTTAAAATAAATAATTAAAAACATAAAAATAGTTTATTTACAATTTACTTTTTCTATTGACAAAAGTTAATACTCGATTCACAAGATCCTCGGAATTATATCTTTTCACCAATTCTTTAACTTCATCTTCATTTACTTTTAATAATTTATTCATATCCCATCGTTTAATTAACATTTTTGTTGCTTGAATTGTCTGAAAATGAAAGCAATTTTTCTATATTTATAAATATATATATATAATTATTCATATATTTGTATATTAATAATAATGAATAAAAATAGTAAATAAAAAAAAGGAATTTAAAAAAAATAAACTAATACCTCAAACGACATTGTTGTTACTATTGTTTCCAAATATTTCCAAATTTCATCAACGGAATCAGATTTATAAATTTTGGAAATCAAACCACACTCTCTAGCTTCCTCTGGATTCATTTGATGACAAAAATAAAGCATTTCTCCAGCCTGAAAAAATTTTCTTTTATAAATATTAAAAATGCTTCTTTTTTGTTAATAAAATAGTTATATATACCTTTGATCTGCCCATAAGCCTTGGAAAAGTGTAACTTGAACAACTTTCTGCTATGAGACCCAATTTTGAAAAAGGTGTGTTAAAATATGCCTGAAAGAAAAAAAATTCAATAGAAATTTTACAAAAAAAATATGAATTATAAAAATAATAAATAATAATTCATATACCTTTTCAGAGGCGTACACAATGTCAAATAGTGCAAGAACTGTTACTCCAATTCCAATTGCCGGTCCATTAACAATTGCCACCAAAAGTTTTGGGCATTTTATTACAGCATCGACAAATTCTCTAAAATTATAATTTTTTTTCTCGTATTTCAATTAAAAAAAAAAAATTCTTTTTTTAATATCAATTTTGCGTACTTAAATTTTCGTGTGGATCCTTCAACATCACCCATTAATGATACATTAAATTCATTTCCACTTGTAAAAAAATCTCCAGCTCCAGTCAATACTAACATTCGAATATCATTATTTTTTGCTGATTCATTTATTATATCACCAAGCTGTTTATACATCTTAATTGAAAAGACAATGTTATTAATAGAAAATAATTTTTTTTCTATATATATATATATTTAAAGCAATGTACCTCAGTTGATATAGCATTTTTCTTTCTTGGTTTGTTGAGTATTATTTTCAAAATACCATTATTAGATGAAACAAGAATATCAGATTCGTTATTTTGTGACATTCTTGCACTTTGTGCCTTTACTGTTAAAAAGAAATGTCAGCTCATTTATCACTGTCGTGATCACTGTGTATAAAAAATTATCTTATCTTAATACACAAACACATGTATAAACATTTAATTTAAAATTTGTTTAGCATTAAATTGCAAAAGATTTAATTTTTTTTTCATTTCAACTTAAATAAATTCAAAATATTTCTTTGTTATTTCCATATAATTTAATAGTAAAATATTTATTATTTAATAATTATTCTGCAAAACATTAACGATGTCAACATAACCTAAAAACATTTTTCTCACCTTTAATGTTCGATATTCCCAATATATAACTAAATATTCCAATTAGTTAAAAAAAAATTGATAAAATACCGGTTTTTCCGTTTATCAAAACTTGTATTTATTTATTTTTTCATCCCCAAAAAAAACTATGTGTATTTCTAACCTAGCACATATTGCAACAAAACAATTGCGCTCATTGGTTCCTTTTTTTTGCGCGCGTATTTAAAATATTTTTAAAATGACAGTTCCTTTATAAACATTTCCAAGTTATTAAATGATAATTACTCAATTTAATTACTTAAAAATAATAATAATTATAATTATAAAATTATTGAAATTTTGTTTATAAATATATTTTAAATAATAAACAAGAATATTTTTAAATTTTTAGCATTAACAGTCGAAGCCAATGAGAATAATTGTATTGACGCGTGCGCAATATTAATGATGAAAGATTTTGGAAATACGATTTAAAATATTTTAAACCAATATGGCGATAGAATTGAGGAGAGGGAATTTTAATATAATTACCGGAACACGTGCAGATCAACATGGTGAGATGAATTGAAGCAACATGTGATTTTTGTGTTCTTTTGCATTTGAGTGACATAAAAAATAATTAACATAAAATATTAATATGAAGAAAGTTAAAAATATGTGGTGTACTGACCCTGACAACATCTTATACAAGTTCACATAATTCATATATATCAAATTCTAAACGAAAACAAAAGCATATAAGAAAAGTCATCAGTTGCGTTTGATTGCGTCCTTTAAAATATATATTCGAAATCATACTACAAAAAGAAAAACGAATATACACTCTTAAAATACAATAAATTAATATAAAATAATCAACAATGTAAGTATTTTTTATTTATATAAATTATATTATTTTTATATTAATTTTTAGTTTAAAAAAAAAAAATGTAATTGCATGTATATTTATAGAATATTTAGTTAGTTTATTTCGTTTATTTAGTCCGGCATCAGCTGATTTGTTTTATTTTTAATTCAAGGTTTTTGTTGACTAATTTAAACAATTAAAAATTAATTCTGCATGCATTTCAAATTTAATGAAAATTCCAAATAATGACAATAAATTATCTAATAATAAAACATTTGAATTTTAAAAATATTTTAGTCATCGCTTATATATATATATATATATATATATATATATATATATATTATAATATGTATAGTATATTCATAAGGGGCTAAAAATAGAATTGTACCTTGTGCGACTTTTAGGAAGAGATTGTCTATATTTACAAAAAAAAAAAAAAAATAATAAATAAATAATTAAAATAAATAATTTTTTAGAAACTGAATTTTATAATTCTTTAAATATCTATTTCTATTTTCTCAATAAAACTTCTTTACCTAAATAAACTTTTCTTTTTTAAATAAATTAAATTGTTATATTATATAATTTACTTTTTTATGTCATTTTTATATATTTTTTATTCATTTCTAGTTTTAATTCAAATTATTATTTTATCTTCAATTTTTTGTGTTTTTCATTTTATAATTAAATTTTTTTTTTTTTTGATAATTTCAAATTTTATTACATCACACACCCTGGTATTAATTCGAAGAATTTATTTCAATTCATATTTAGGCCAGTAATTCATTGATGTCATTATCTCATCAAACATTGTAGAAGGTCAAAGAAAAAGGATTGTAAAATCTTAATCTAATTTAAATCAATTTCTCCATTTGACATTATACTTTTTTCTTGAATTAAAATGACTTCCTCTTTTGATTTATAAATATTTTCTTTATTTAAAAAAAAAAAAAAAAAAGAAAGATGTAAATAAAAATATTTTTATTCTATAAATTTTTATTGATTTTATTCTTGTTTCTGTAAATTAAAATCTAAAAATATTTTTGATACATTTCTAGTCACGATTTTAAATTAACGTTATATAAAGCAATTATTGGAAACGTTTATTTTATTCCAAGAAATATACAAAGTATAGAAATTTAACGAGTTTATGTAACACTATGTAATTTATAATATAGACGATTATCAAAAATTTTCTTTTCTTTTTAAATTGTAAAAAAATTAAATTTTACTATTAAAGTTCAATATTTTGTTAAATTTATTTTTATTATTAAAATATTGAATAAACAATTTTACATTTAATTCTAAAACATGTAATCTATGTAATTACCCATGTCCGGTTTCTGTGATTTTTTGTCATTTTTTTTTTTAGTTAGAAAATATTGTAAAACCTTGAGATAAAATCTGAAATTAGTTTCTTGATTTTACTCGACTGTATAGTAAATTTAAAATATATGTTGGTTTTTAAAATTTTAAAATTTAATTTTTAGGGCGTCATTTATGGAACAGAGAACAATTTTTCAATTATTAAATGAAATACCAGACGAGAGGGAAATTGTGAAGGATGCAAGTTCAGATGAGGAGAATATTTTCGAGGACAATATGAATAATTTAAGTAACGATAAAGATTATTCATCTGAATTAGAAGCAACATCCGATTGTGAGGATTATTTTTTAACAAACGATAGAGATGATTATTTTTCAACAAAAAATGACACGTGTAAGTGGAGAAAATTTCAATATAATAATAATAATAATGATAAATTACATACTCAGGAATTAATAAGCAGCGCAATAAATGTAACTAGTGAGAGTGATGCTTTTTTAAAATTAATTGATGAGAAAATGTTGGATTTAATTGTAATGAGTACAAATAAAAAAATTGAGAGAAAAAAAAATCAATATAAACGTGATAGAGATGTGCAAAATTTAACGAAAAATGAATTATTAGCATTATTTGGACTTTTATTTTTAATTGGAATTAATAAAGGTAATCATACAAGTACAGAGGAATTATGGACAACTGATGGTACGGGAATATCAATGATACGTGCTTGTATGAGTAAAAAACGTTTTTTATTTCTATTAAGAAATTTACGTTTTGATAATGATGAAATAAAACATAAAAGACGAACAATTGATAAATTAGCGCCAATACGTTATTTTTTGGATTCATTTATAACAAATTGTAAAAGTTCATATAGCGTTGGACAATTTGTTACGGTTAAAAGTTTAGATGTATTTGAAGGACAATTGAATTCTAGTCATAATTTATCGAAAAATCTTGCAAAATGTGGAATGAAAATATTTGCATTGTGCGATGCAAAAACATATTTTACAAATAATTTTGAAATTTATTGTGGAACACAACCTGATGGTCCATATCGTGTATCAAATGATCCAATTGATATTGTTGAACGTTTAATTGCGCCAATTGAGGGTTCAAATCGAAATTTAACAATTGGCAGTTGGTATATGAGTTCAAAACTCGCTAATTCTCTATTAGAGAAAAAAATTACATGCATCGGTGCAATAACAAAAGATAGATCTGATATTCCTGTGGAATTTTTACCAAATAAATATAAACGAATTGGTACAACAATATTTGGATATAAGCCAAATATGACACTTGTCTCATATGTAACGCAAACAAATCGTTCAATTATTTTATTATCGACAATGAAAAATTGTAATATTGTCGATGAGAAAACAAAAAAACCACTTGTTGCACTTTATTATGATATGACAAAAGGTGCAGTTGATGTTGTTCATCAATTATGTAATGCTTATTTTATTGCACGCATTACAAATAAATGGACATTGGCATTATTTTTTACATTAACAAATATTGCAAGTGTTAATGCACAAATTTTATATGAGGCAAATAATGAGGATTGTCGTGTTATAAGAAAGAAATTTTTAAAAAATCTCTCATTAAGTTTAATGAAAAATCATTTATGTGAGAGGGCAAAAATTTTAACACTACCCATTGAAATAAGAGCAATATTGGCGAGATATCGTGTTGAACCAATTGAAATACAAAAGGAAAATAATGAAGAAAGTCGAAAACGTGGACGATGTCATTTATGTGCACGAGCAAAAAATGTTGATACAACAATAAAATGTAAATTTTGTCGAAGATTCTCTTGTAAGGGACATGTGGATATTGTGGTAACTTGCATTGAATGCAAGACTGCAAAAAATGAAGATATGTGATTTTTTTTTTTGTAATAAATCGATAATAAGATATAAAAAAAGAGAAAATTAGTGATTATTATGTGATTTAAATCAATAGTTCCAAAACAAATGTTTTGTTAAAGATTTTTTTTTTCGAGGCTTTTATAATATTTTATTAATCGAAATTTTTATTCAATTTTTTTTGTTTTTAGATTCAAGAAAAATATTCTTCAAATAATAATAATAATTTTATATTATTGTAAGTTTTTAATTTTATTAATAATTTAGATCTGAAATTTTATTTGTAATTGTACAATTATTTTTATTAAATAAATGTAATTACAATTGAAAAGTTTTTTAAAATTATCTTGTTTTTCTATTAAAATATATATATTGATATTAATAAATTATAAATAATTTAAATTTTAATGGAAAAAAATTGGAATTTCCCAATTTTCGAATATTTTTAAAATGTCTTAGCAAAGAATATTACTTATTTTTTATACAAAATAGTAATTGATAAAACTGATAATTTAGTGATAATGAAATATAGAAAAAAAAAACTGGAAATAGTTTTATGAGAATAAATTAAAACAAAAATTTCTTTCAATTTGGGGAATTTCTGCTTTAATATTGTCTAATATTTTTTTCTTATACTTTTTAGAGATTATAAAGAGAATTACAAATTTTACTATCTACTACGATATTTTAATAAAATTATAATTTTATTGAAATTGAAACAATTTTGTGATAAAAAAAAAAAAAAAAAAAAAAAAAAGAAAATTAGTATTATTGGTATCAGAGGTCGTTTATTTTTACGATGTATAACTTTTAAAAGTTAACAAGACTACAAAGTTAAAAAACAAAAAGAAAATAGTTTACCAAACAAGACAATTAGTTAAAGGAAGTTTTTTTTAAAAAATTATTTCAGTTGTTTTCCACAACTGTGTTCATTTTCAAAATATTCAATGATAATTATTTATTAATATGCAAAATCATTTTTAATAAATTTATTAAAATTATTATTTAATTACTAACAATGGGAGAAATAGTTGAAGAAGATGCAAAGAATTCAAGAAAAAAATTACAATTTTTTGAAGATATTCTTCCATTTATTGGTGATTTTGGCAAATTTCAGTGGACATTATTATTGAGTTTATTTCCATTTGGAATAGCATTTGTCGCAGTTTTTATTGCACCATTACTCATTGTTGCAGTACCTCAAAAACATTGGTGTAAAATAAATGAATTAATGAACTTAAATTTAACACAAGATCAAAGGTGAGTTCAAAAATGAACAAAAAAAAAAAAAATTTTTTTTATTTTTCAACAATTATTTTTATTTTTTACAGAATTAAATTGGCGATACCAGCGTCAAGTAATTATCCATTCTTTGAAAGATGTCATCGTAAGAAATTAAATTTTCATGAAATTATTGTTGAAAATGATTTTAATTTAAAACAATGGGAGACAAATGAAACAGTTAAATGTGATGATTGGGAATATGATTTTAGTTTAATACCATATCCAAGTATTGGCGTTGAGGTAAGAGGCAATATAAAAATTATAAATAAAATTTAGATAAATTATATTAAAAAAAAAAAAAAAGTTGATTAAATAAAAATAAGGTTTTTTTTTTTCGATGTAGATGAATTGGGTTTGCGATCATGAATATCGAATAGCAACAGCGCAAGCCGTTTTTTTTATTGGTTCTCTATTTGGTAATTTTATATTCGGTTGGATCGCCGATCAAAAAGGCAGATTGGTAGCATTAAAATTTTGCACTGTTTTTGCATTTATTGCCACAATTGGAACGGCGAATTCTCATAATTTTTGGATTTTCACATTATGTCGATTCATATTGGGTTTTGCGTTTGATAATATTATAACTGTTCCTATTATTTTAGGTATGGAAAACAAAAAATCATTTAAACATTTTTCAAATTTTAAATTATTGAATAAGTATATTATAAATTTTTTAGCTCTGGAATACACTGCCGAAAATAAGAGATATATTATAACTTGTCTTGGATTTGGATTGAATTTAATGTGTGGAAAATTATTTTTAATATGGTCAGCATATTTTATTAGTGATTGGAGAATTTTCACATATTTCTCTTCATTATCATTTATTGTTTGTTTCTTGCTTACATTTATAATGCCAGAAAGTATTCGGTAAATATTTTCTTTTTGGAATTAAAAAAAAAAAGGATTTATTTAATTTAATTAATATTTATTTAATAAATATTTTTTTACAAGATGGTACGCCTCAAAAGGAATGTCAGACGAAATTTTGAAAAAACTCCGTAGAATTGCTAAAGTAAATGGAAAAAATCCTGAAGCATGGATGTACGACGAACTTTTGGTATGTTAAATAAACAAATAATTTCATAAATCTATATATATATGTTTTCAAATATTTTTTTTCTAGATGAACTTAACTCATGGAAATAAAAATATTGAAAATGCAACTTTATTGGATCTCAGAAAAACTCCTCATCTTGCCAAGAATACTGTTCTTTTTTCGCTTATTTTGTAAGTAAATAAAAAATTACACACAATTATTAATATATTAAATTATATTTAAAATTTAATGATCAAAGATTTTATTTCGTCTTTTTTTAAAAAAAAATTTCTTCCATAAAAAATTCCAGTGCTCTAACTGCTGTAATATTGGACACGAATTTGTATTATTTACATCGATATGAAATATCAATTTTCTTATCGTTTAGTTGGACGTGTATTGAAACGATGTTGGCATTTTTATTATTTAAATTATTAGTAAATCGACTAGGTCGTAGATTTATTGGATCTTTGTCATTGATTCTAATCACGATATTTAGCTTTGCATTTGTTATTATTAAATCTGGTGCGTATGATAATTCACTATTTTTTTTTTTTTTTATTAAAATTAAAAATACTTTATTTTGTTCTAATAAATTATTTTTTTAAAACAGAAATTGGAAAAATTTTCATGGCATCAATAGGACGACTTGGAATGGATTTATTATCTTTTCTGTTTATTCAATACACGCCAGAATTTTTTCCTACTACTTTGAGAACTCAAGGTAGCGCTTCAATTCATTTTTTAGCAACTATTTTGCATTTTGTCACACCCTATATTATACTTTTGGTAAATAATTTTTTTTATTCTCTTATTAATTTTGTTTTAGTTTTATTTTATTAGATATTAAATATTTGTTTTTGTTTTTTTCAGAGCAACACTTGGAAAGAATTGCCAATTTTAATAGTTGCCATTGTCGCATTACTTGATGCAATTTTAATACTTTTTCTGCCGGAAACTGCTGGAAAAAATTTACGTCAAACACTTCAGGAGGGTGAGAATTTTTGCAAGGAGAAGAAATTTTGGCCTATTCTCGTTTTCCAAAAATTGAATGTACGTTCAACACAAAAATAGGTAAAAAAATTTTTTTGCACTTTTTTTCAAAATTAAGGAAAAATTTTGTAATATTCATTAAATAATTTAAAAAAAAAGAAAATTCACGAAAAATTAGAAATAAAATCAGATAAAATTTTGATATATTTAAAATAAAGAAGTACGCAAATTGTAGTAGAAAGAAAAAGATAAAATGATACACTAATTATAAAAAATAATTACTATGATAGTTTTGTTTTTTTTTTTTTTTCGAAATAACGGCGATTCTTGTAAAATAGAATATAGAAAAATAATTGCGACACGCGACGAGATTGTCAGTACGACAGCAATCCAGTCTTGAAACTGGTTTCACCTTGTCTTGTGTTTTCACATAAATTCGGGAAGTCCCTCCACCACCACCGCGATTATTTTATATATATATGTCTGCGATATGTTCACGGTGATTCACATATTAAATGTTTGTGTGTATAAATGCAACCGTCACGATCCTCTGCGTCACACAACGTACGTCATCAACGTCAATCGAATAATTATAATACCTGTAGACACACACACTCACATAGGGACATGATACTCTCATTAATCCAAGTATTATGAGATTCGCAGCAGGTTTACCCATAAATAAATGTATATGCGTACGGATGCAAAAAAAAAAGGACGGCATTTTAAATTGAAAGTTATACAATATAAAAAAAGGGGAGGGTGGGAGACTATTTAAGATGGACCTATGGTCTTTTTGCAGATCGCTGAATTTTTAATGTTATCATTTTTTCAAATCTTTTCAGGCCATTCACATTTTTTTCAGGCCACGTAGTGACGTCGATGACCCGAAATCGCATTACGACCAGTTTTTATTGCCGAAATTCTAAGTTTAACTCTTTTGGGACTATTAATAAATTTCTTTATAATGACAAATGAATTCTCGTAATTGAATAAAATTCGATAAATCACTTTGATATTTGGAAAAAGGTTGGCGGAGGGGCGGATTAATATTGAGAAATGTTAATTGTTTCTTTTTTTTTTTAATTTACATAAATTTACTATATTTTTCTTTGAAAAGTCAATGAAACTTTTCTTTATCAACAAAATTAGTTTTTTTTTTAGTTTCGTTACTCTTCTTTTTTTTATTTTAATTTAAAAAAAAACTATATAAAATTTATTTTTAAAAAATCTTCAATTGTCTATTTTTCAAAACAAAGTAACAAAAATTAGTGTGATTTTTTTTTTTTTTAATTAAAATTATGGCACTTGTCATCAAAAGTCAATGTTTGTTTTTTTTTTTTTTTTTGAATAATTATAAATGACATTAAGGTACTTGTTTTCCAAGGATTTTGCAGTAAATTTCGTTTTCAATTTTACGACTTAAAAATCACACACATTTCATCATTCAAATTATAAAGTTAAAAACAAATGGAACAATATTTGAAAAAAAATTTCGATGACAAACGTAAACATTCTGAAATTGACAAAAATAATACTAGTTTCGAGACAAGGAATTTATTGTTCTTTTATCAACTTTTTACAGGATTTAAAATAATTTTTTTTTTTTTTCCTCTAAGTCTTGAACCACTTTTGGAAACATCAGTTTACAATAACAAGAAATCAATGTTCTCAAAAAAATCGTAATTTTTTTAAAAAAAATTTCTATTGATTTTTTCAATTTAGAAAATCTTTGAAACGAGCAAAAAAAAAATTGTTTTAAAGTTCTAAAGAAAATTTTTTACATATTAGAAAATAGGTATTTTTTAAAAAAAAAAAAAAAGAAATTTTCTTTGAAAAATTAATAAAGTGAATTTAAACTTTGGGTTCAAGGAACCAAGTGAACTTTTTTTTTTTTTATTTGCTCTTTTGAGGAAAAAAATTATAATTTTCTATAGATTCTCAAAGTTAGGAAACTTATGCATCTCTTAAAAAAAACAGGTGATCTCATATCAAGTGACGGTTAGTGTATTTTTAAAATTAATAAAAACCTAGAATCAAAGGTCGTGATATTGGAATTTCATCAGAATCTGATACTATTTCAAATTGTCGGAGAATTCGCAAAGTCATAGTCCAAATTTTTTTCCAATATTTACGTCATTATATTTGTTTTCTAAAAAGATGAAACACAAATATATGTATTATATTGTTTTTTTCATTAAATAATGTGTGAAAAAACAATTTACGTCATTTTTTTTTTTTTTGTCATTTTATAGTTCAAAATTCAAATTTTGACCAATTTAAATTTTTCAAAAATAATTTTTTTCCGAATAAGAATAATATTTTTCAAAACAAATTTAAGAAGAAAAAAAAAATTTATTTGTTAAAAAAAATTGTGAAGGGAAAAATAAAAACAGAATTGTCAATTTAAAAAATTTGGATTTTTTTTATTAAAAAATCTCACGATGAATGATTTTTTTTTACACATGAAATCCGATTGCCATTACAATAAATAAGTGAATGAAAAATACTGTTATTATGAACAACATGGTTTTCGATGAATGAATCATAAATATTAATGTTTTTAAAACTGCAATGATCCCTAAAATAAATACGCCATTTTATTTACAATAAAAATGAATTAAATTGTATATGATGTATGTGTATTTACATGATACATCAGTCAAAAATTATACAAAGAAACAATAAATATGTATTAACTAAGAATTCTAATTTTTAAATTTATAATTTACACGCCTATTTGCAAAAAAATATTAATTCTTTCATTCTTTCTCTCTCATTCTCTCATTCACAATTTACACAATATATAAATAAAAACTCTAATATCACAGAGTAAAAAGTTAACGCAAAATCATTTTATAAATCTGTTTCTCTCCTAATATTTCCTCAATTATTTACAGAAATAATATTATAATTTAATTTTCGATTTTGCTCACATTTTACAAAAAAAAAAAAGAATCGTAATTTAAAAAACTTATACTATATCACAATGTTCTAATTCCACAAGATTTTTGTGAACTGAAGAAAAAATATAATTTAATTTTTTCTTCTATTTTCTAATAATGACAAAAAAAACGAAATAGTTTTTCTCACTTATTGTCACGGCAAATAATTAAATTCCCTTTGTTTCAGAGAATTTTCGAAAAAAAAAATTAGTCGTCTAGATGTATCCGAGGCGATTGTGGTTGAACATCAGGAAAATCAAAAAGTGCACAAACACATCCAGCGTAAATTTTCATTTTACTTCGTCGATGACCATGATAAACATCAATAATTCTATATGTTTGAAGACAATAATAAAAGCCCATATCCTGACATCTTGATCCAGCATGATTACAAACCACGTGCTCCAAATCAGCGGGTATTCTATTCCCTTCAAGATCAGGAATTGGAATCACTTTATAATCACAAATTGAATTATTCTGCGCCTCTTTAACTTCAACTTCATAGTCTTCACTTTTCTCCAAGAATACAGCGCCACGTTTTCTACTCTCTTGAAAATCTCTCTCCTCATCCGATGTCATTTGTTTATATTCAACACCTTTACTGTGTCTATTATTATGTCGTTTTCTACGTTCACGAAAACTCGAAAAATCCCTTGGCTGAAGTTTCAATTGTTCCTGTTGATTGAGATCAATTAATTCTTGATTTATTTTATGATGATGATTATGATGATGATGATGATGATGTTTTGCACTTAGGCCAAGATTTTTACGAGGGTGAGTTTCAGAAATTTGATTTTGTGCCTCAATACAAGTCCATAATAAAATGAATAATATTTTTATTGAATTCATTTTTTTTTTGAACTTTATTTCTAACTCAATTCGACTATCGTTGAAAATTGTCGAGTGCAAACTGGACGATCCTGCGATCCTCCGATGTATTTTTTATCCTTTAGGTGAGGGGGCTCTTATTGAAGAGGGATGCCCCACTTGGTGAAACAGGTGGCTCGTGCCAGTTTTGAAAGAGCCAATCCCCTCACATTTCTGTCATGCACGCCTTCTTCTTCTTCTTCTTCTTCTTGTATACCCAGAGAAACGACGCCAGGAGCACTCCTGTTTGACGTCAGTTCCATTTCCTCTTGTCGCGAGTGCGGTAAACCGTATTTCCTTCAGAGTCGCGAGGAGGAGATTTTTCACCTGAAACTGCGACACTGACCTACGGTCCTACGTAAATCGCGTCTCTACGTAGGTACGCGGAAAAAAAATAAAAAAAAGAAAACAAATTTAAACAGCTACTCCTCGCTGTGAATAATGGTGCCACTTATTTCTATCATCGCGAGTTCTGTGATCGTGTAGTGCAACGATTTTTTTTCCAATAATGAAAAAATTCACAAAAAAAAATAGAATATAAATCTTCAATTCCTATTATTTTTTTTTGTTTTTTAACAAATTTTTTTGGTGAAAAATCTTATTTTTTCTGTACAATTATTTTTAACAAACGTTTATCATGTAAATATAAAATTATTGTTCTTACGTCGAATCGATAAATAATCCTTTTATTTTTGCTGCACGAGGATAAATCGAAAGCTAATCATTTTCTTTGACGTATGCGAATTCCAGGATTGGGAAATCCATATATAATAATCTGTTTCGAGATATCAACTTCATTGATGGGGAGAATGAAAAAAAAGTGACCAGTTTTTTTTTCGACTGATTGCAAAATTTTTTTTTTTCTACACTGGAGAATAGAACAAAATTCCTATTTTACAGTTTATTGATTACAAGTGTGTATGCTAATAACACTTTATATTAAAATTCTTCTACAAAAATTATTCGTTGCACTAGACGTTCTCCTCACTTTTCTAGTCACGTTCGCGTGTTATTTTTTTTTTTTTTCTGGCAAATTAGTTTAAAATTCTTTTCACTAAACCTTGAGTCAATGTCTTCTTATCTTAACTCTCTTTTAATAAAAAAAAAAAAAAACTGCCAATTGGCAAAGATTATTTTTGCCTAACGGTATTTATATAAAAATTTCACTGAGAGTAAAGTCCCTAAATTTTATCATTTTTATCACATCAGATTTAAAAGACAATTTTTTTTTTTATTTTTATCTGGGATGCCCACCCCATGTGTGTTTTTATTTATTATACCTGTCTTCAATTATTTCATTGTATCAGTATGATAAATAATCTTTTGAATGTCAATCATTATCATTGATAATAAAATCAAGTTCCGCTTTCGTTTAATTATAAAAAAAAAATTGAAAAGAGAAATTATTTAATTTTATTTGATAAAAATAGTAAAATTTCCTAAAAAAAAAAAAAAGAATGGTAAAATTTCATGAAATTTATGCAAAAAAAAAACCGCTTATTCTGCCAAAAATCCCTATTGCTCATCTTTACAAAGTTCTTCCTCGTTGAGATGAGACAGCATGATTATTTGCAAATTATGTTCTAAATATATAACCAGATCACGAATTGTATATTACATCAGTTCCGTGATTTTTTTATTTACATATTATTATGAAATTATTTATATATTAGAATTTACATTCTTTCGATTATTCCCCTTTTAATGAATAAATTATTCCCAAAAAAAAAATAATAAAAATTTATAATTAATGTAAAATTTAATTTTTATCATATAAAAATATGATAATATAAAAATAATTCTGAAAATTTTTTTTCGGATATTTTCAATAAAATTTCAAATTTACCGAAGAAAAGAAATTATATAATTTTTTTTTGTTTTTATTCCTTTGGAATATTTAATAAGTCATAAATATCTTATACTGGGAAATTTAATCGAAATTTGAATTTAATTTCTAATCTAATGTTAATTAGAATTTTATAATTAGTGAAATGCGTCAGTAACTAATCAGGAAACAATAAAAAAAAAAGTATGATTCTTTTGAGAACAGAACGAAAATAAAATTAAAAATACCAAGTGAATAATGTGAATTGTAAAATAATTATTATTCTCACACTCTTCGTACAATGACGTTGAAATTATCTTTTATAACATCATGATAAATTGTCCATCTTACATCACTGTGATTTAATTTTCTTGTTTACAATAATATATATAAATATATATTCGACAATAAAAGATATTATTCTCAAAATAAAATTTATTTTTCGATCAAAACATTACTCTAAACGAGATTAATTATAAAAAGCAAATATCTTTTATGATTCTCCAGGGAATCCTCGTGATAATAAAATCGAGTCATCATTCACTAAATTTAGATTTTTATTCTTGTCTCGTCAAATAAAATTTTCTACATTTTGGTAAAAATTAAAAAAAAAAATTAAAATATCATTCTAAATTTTACAATTCACATGATGAATATTCAATTTCTTCCTCGCTATTTGAATTATTTTGTGTTTTTTGTATTTTTAAATCATTTTTCTTACGTTCACGTAAAATTAAATACTGATAGATACTTATTCCATTAACAATATCATATAAATTTGCACCTTCTTTTTTTAACATATGAATAATTGATTCCACATCTTTAACAATAGCAACAAATAGCGGTGTAATATTTAAATTTGATTTTGAATTTATATTTGCACCATATTTTATTAATGTTCGAACAACACGTCTTTCTCCATTTTCAACTGATAAATGTAATGATGTGTAGCTAATTTTTTCACTATGTGAATTAATTTCCGTTTCACTATAATCACCATATGTAAAAAGTTTTTCAATCATACCTGAAACTTTAATTGATATCGATGATAATTTTGCTTCAATATTTGCCCCATTATCCAAAAGAAATTTCACCATATATTCATGTCCACCGCGTGAAGCCGTAAGAAGTGGTGTTGAAAAATAATTCATCTCTTTTATTTCATTTGTTCTTTTATTTGAAAAAAAAAAAAATAATTTAGTATTCTCTCTTTTTTTTTGTGGAAAATTTCTCTATAAATTTTTTTTTCCTTTTTTTCTATTGGGAAATTTATTTTTTTTTTTACTTACTCTGATTGAATTTTTTCTTTAGAATTAATTTCAGCACCATAATTTAATAGTAATTTTCCTATTAATATTCGACCTTTTTGAGCCGCGGCATGTAAAGGTGGTAGACAATTTTTAAATGAATAATTTGGATCTGCTCCAATGGATAATAAATATTTGACAATTTCCACATTACCCTGATAGGACGCAATATAAAGTGCTGGATAAAATTCACGTTTCTTTTCCTCTTTTTCATTGTGATTTTCACAAATTTTCTTTAATTCCTCGAATAGTCCTCTTTTTGCCGCATTAAATAATGGATTTTCGAAAATATTTGCCTCCATTTTTGCACCTGGAAAAAAAACCTTACTTTAGTATAAGTTCAAAAAAAAGAAACATTACAAAAATTATTAATGAAATAATTTTTGGAATATTGACTTTATAACTTTAATAAAAAATTTTATTATTAATTTAATAGGAAAGAGAAACATTTTAATAATATTTTATTACACTGTAATAGTAAATGATTGAACAGCAATTAATTTTGATTTGACTTTGTAATGACTTTATAAACACAGAAAACTTTCATAACATTAATATTTGAGAAAATAATATATTTCCACTGGAAAAATTATTTAATTAAATTTTTAATTATTATTTAGATATTTATATTATTCTCAATTAAAGAGGGCAATATTTTCAATTTTTGAATTACAAATTCATGTCAAATATATATATATTTTTTTTTAAATAAAAAACTATGAAATTAACAATTTTTGCAAAATTAAAGCAAAACTTACGTGTGAAATTGTAAATCCAAATTTTTCAATCTTTTTTTTCTCTACGCAAAATAAATACAGTTTCATTAATGTTACGAGATATTAAAACTATTTCCAAGCTTCCGTTAAATTCAATATTAAAGAGGGAAATTTAAAAAAAATAAATTTAATGAAAATATAAAAATAGAAACTTTTATTTACTTTTTTTTAGTAATATATTAATAATTTAATTTTTGTAAAAGATTTAAAAAATAAAAAATTTTATCAATAGTTTAAAAATTTGTTCTCTAATTTAAAAAAAAATTTTAAATAGAAGGAGAAAATAATTCAAAGCAGAAATTTTATAAAGAAACAATTATTTATTTATAAAAACTATATTGAAAATTATTTTTCAATGTATATGGCACAAGTATGGCATAAATTGTTTTTCCTAATCGTATAATTCGTAGATACTTTCTACATTTGTGTAGCAAAACATTTTTTTTTTTTTTAATACTGAAATATTACGCATTCTTACAAAGTATAAAATAATACTGTACAAAATAATAAAAGCTTTTGAAAATCATATCAAAAATAAAAATATTATATTCATTTTCTAGAAAAAAAAATGGAGTTTTGAAAAGCTTTTCATCTTCATCTTCATAATATTATAACTATATATATATATTGTTTAAATATATTTAAATATATATTTTATTCTATTCTATTGTAATAATAAAATAATTTTTAAGATAAATGCAATTATCGTCGAAAAAAAAAATTAATTTTACAACTTAAAGCAATAAAAATAAATTTTTTTAAAGAAATTATAAATAAAAGTTAGACTTGAATTTTGTCTAAAGAAAAATATTTTTTTTTAATTTTTCATTAAACTTTCGATAATTAAAGAGGATAATTGATGCATTTTTCTTAAGTAACAAAAAAAAAAGAAAAAACTATAAATAAATAATACTTTGTTGCATGATCCCTATATCAAAATTGCAAATAAACGTAATTTTATCAAATGTATCATTTTTTATGCTTATCAATATTCCAAAAATGACTGCTTTCCCTTCTCGTGTAGATAGTAATTTTTTTTTTCAATATCCATTAAAAACTGTCTGCATTCGATGCTGTTGAGTCATCCATGTCATTTCCTTTGTTTTCTGTAAATTAAAATAAATATTTCAACAAATATCTTTATAAATACTTTAACAAATATTTTAACAAATATTTTTATAATTAAAAATATTTTAATATAAAAATTTTAAAAACCAATAAATTTGTCTTCTCTAAACTAAAAATTTTATTTAACAATAAAAAAAAAAAAAAATCGAAATTTAATTTCACAATTCTTACCCTTTTATGAATATCGCGACTAATTTGCAAACTAATTGACGCCTGAACAGTTTCATTGGTCGAAGGTGAATCCAATTTTGTGTCAAGGATCATTTTCTTCGGAATTTTAATTTTTAAACTATTTCCCTCAGATGCTTTAATTTTGTTCCCCGAAAAAAGTAAATTATCACTTAAATTCAATTTTTCTTTTGGAATACTTATAATAATTGGTGTCATTGATCGATTAACATTTAAATTATTATTATTATTTAATTTAGTATCACAATTATTGTTCTCGTGTTTCTTTTCTTTTTTATCACGTTTCTTCTTTTTCTTATCAATTTTTTCCTTCTTTGATTTTTTACTCTTGTATTTTTGCTTATATTCTTGATTGTCTTCTTCTTCGTCGTTGTTATTATTGTCATCACATTTACTCACCACGTTACTTGGCATAATTTGTGGAGCGTCGACAATTGTATCCGAAATATCAGTGACATTAATAAAAATATCACTTTCTTTCTCTGAATCGACAGTTGTACTGACTAAAATCTCAGTTGTATTTATTAAACAATCGTTTATTGGTTCTTGGACTAGATTTTTCACATAATCTTCATAATATGACGATTGCACTTCTTTTCTCTCATCATTTGATAATTGTACTTCATTTATTTGTTTTTCAAATTCATTTGTATTTTTATTTTTCATTTGATTGCTCTCAACATTTATTTCAGGTAATTTTGAAAGAGTAGTTGAAACAGATGTTGAATTCGAAATATCAATATATTTCAAAGGATTTTGAGTTAAGGAAGCCTTTAAAATTGTTGAAATATCAATAACCATTTTTAATGCCGATTCACTTTCATTTGAAATACAAAAACGTTTACGTGGACCATCATCGATAGAAAGTTTTCGTTTATTTTCCAAATTCAATGAATTCTCACAAGTTTCTTCAATTTTTTTAATCGGTTCCTTAATTTCTTGTAAATTTTTCTCCTCCACTCTAATTGGTTCCTGCAATGTTGCAAGTTCCTAAAACAATTATAAAATTAAAATTATAATTAAAATATTTAATTTAAAAATTTAATTCATTTATATACTCACTTCCTTGCTAAACAAACTTTCAGGACTGAGAATTGAATTTGGTTTCGATAAATACAATTCAATTGATTTGTTTTCCAATCCATTTTCATTTTTGAATTGTTCCTTTAATTCAGCCTCCTCTTTTAATTGTTTCGCATGATTGTGATTGTTCAAAAGTTTGTGATTATAGGAAACTCGAGGTTTAATTCCCGATAATGTTTCAATGGCTCTTTTAAGTTTTGTGTGACAATGTTCAAAAATAAGAAGAAAATCACTTGTTAAACTATCCAAAAATTCCAAAGTCACATCAGGATCAATGTAAGTGAACCATGGCTTTCCAAATGCACTTAATGGAATCTGTGTTACAATTATTAAATATAAAAAATTGAGTTTTATTGAAAAAAATACAATTTTTTCAATCTTTTTGTTTTTTTATATTTATTTACCTCGTAACAAGTCCATTTTGAGGCAAAATAAATGCACAAACAGGCAACAATTGAAGGCCTATACTGAAGACACATTGTTGTCAAATGAATACTAAAAAAAAAGAAATAAACAAATATTAAATTAAATTAAATTATCTAAAAAAATATAAAATAAATATTGAAATACTAAATTACATTAGAATACTAATTACATTAACAAAGGCTTAATTATATTAAAAATTCTTCAAAAAATTAATATAGAACAAGAAATATTGAAATAAATATTAAATTCAGAACAAATAGAAATTCTATCAACTATTTTGAATTTGAAAAAAGCAACATTTTGTAAACATTTATTGCTTTTTTTTAAATTTCAAAAATTTAATAAGGGATATTTTGTCCAAAAAAAAAAAACCCCCCGAAAGTCTAGACAAAATGGGGAAATACCGCAAATTTAAAAGAAATTAATAACGCATTAAGAGAAACGTAATAAAAAGAAATTTCTATAGAAAACTAATTAATATTTCCCATTATTAAGACACCCTAATGTCGACTAATTATCTACAATTAGAAGCAAACTAATGAGATTCACCAAAATAATAAATTTTAATTCTCTATTATATTTAATAATTACTTTTTTATTACTAAATAATTTATATATGAAATTATTTTTTTAATGCAACTACTATTAATATTTTGAAACATTATCTACCATATATGATTTAACAGCCTTCACAATGCACTGTGCCAGTTGATTCTCTGTTGGCTAAAGAAAAAAAAGAGATGTAAATCAAAATTTCAATTTGCATCCCTTAATTAAATTGCCATTTTTTTTTTTTTTTTAATTGATTAAATATCAATTCTAATAATATATTATTTCTAAAATAAAAAAAAAATCATAACAACCTGTTGGATGCCAGGAAATAAGAAGTTGCTTTCAACTCCTTGTTGGCTGAAAGAAAAAACAATTGATAACATTCTTTTTTTTCATTAAACAAAAAATGTTTTCATTGTTAGTTATTGACCGTTTTTCTTTTTCAAAATTTGAAAACTAAGATTCTTTTCTTTTTATTTCTGAAACTTCCTCGGAAAACTTTTTTACATAATTCAATTACAAATTTCACATTTCGGTTTATTTATAAAAAAAAAAAATCTTCATTAGTTTTCAAAATGAAAAATCGAAATTAGCTGAGAATTTTCTAATTCAGTTTTAAATTTAATTTAGCCCAGAAAGTTTTTTTTTCTACAAAAAATTGAAAAAAAAATTTCCGATTAGCTTTAAATTTTCTTAAAAAAAAAATACTGATTTTTTTTTTTTATTCATTTCATTGTCTTTCTTAAATGTTTTCGTTTAAAACATTTTTTGAAAAAATAATTTACGGATCGTGATTGGTTTTAAAAAATGTTATTTTTTTAAATTTTAAAAAAAGAATTCAAGAAAGTAAACTTTCAATTCGTTGCATTCAAGTGAAAAATCATTCTCCTTTGTTTTTTGTAAATGAAAAAAAAAATTTAATTTTTCTTCTACTGGTTATTTTTTACCCCCCCTTTTACAGATCATCTTCTATTGGATTTTTGAAATAAAAAATAAATTTATCCCTCGCGGTTCAAAAAATAAAAAATTAAATTTAGATAATTATAAAATTAGCAAATAATAATTATAAAATTTTTTCAATTAGTACGAAATCGGATAGAGATTTTCATTAAAATTTAAACTATAATAAACATAAATAATAAATAAAAATAATTTATAAATATTTTTATACAATAAAATTCATGTTACAAGCTCACCTTTAATAAGTTCACAAGCTTTGATCATTACACAATGAGGATGAGTAACTTGAACATCGAAACCCAATGTCATTAGAAGAATATTTTCATGAGAAAGAAGTTCGTCATACATTTTATTGTAACGCTAAAAATGTAAAATTAATATTTTAACATTGTATAAAAATTAAATAATTTTTTTTTTCAACATAAATAAATCATTTAAATACAATAAAAAATATTGTTAATTTTTAAAATTAATGTCACAAGGGAGGAAAAACAAAAATTGAGAAACTTACTTCAGATGATGGTGAGGCAGTACCTTCTTTTTTGTAAAGAAATTTATAAGCTTTATGTATCACAGTGTCAATTCTTTGGGGTCTTTCTTCCGTTTTTGCTGATAAATATAAACACGCCATTCCCATTTTATATTTATCAAATTTTGTCATTGAATGAAACATATAGAATCGATGCATATACACAATAGCTGTATTTATACATAATTGTGTACTAATAGCAAATGGTTAAGGATTTTAATAATTCATTAAATTAAACAAAATAGAGAATTGTTACATCAAAATAAATTCTGAATTAAAAATTCGTAAAATAAATGTGACCAAAAAAAATAACAGATTTGTAAATTAATAAATTATTTTTAAAACAAAAAAAGGAAATCTTAATTTTTATTTATAATTTATTTCAATTGCCGCATATAATTCCTAACCTACAAAACTTTGAAAATTTTAACAATTCTTAAAGTCAAAATACTTTATTTAATTAAAATTTAACATATCATAGAAATATGTAAACCCAAATAAAATTATTGCTAAAGTACGAGAAAATAGTTTATATACTATAAATCCTAACCTTTATGAAAAAAAAGGATTTACACTTTATAAAAATGTAATTTTCCAAATTTGAAACAAAAAATGCTTACCCCCTATTGAAAAATGGTTAAATTTCAGTTTTTTCTATAAAAAGGATACAGTTTTAAGGACTGACCAAGATCCTGGATAAATCCCGATGCCATATGACGATACTTGACTTCTTTATCAAAATCAATTTTATATTTTCTTGAAGGCGAATTAATAATTTGTTCCTTGGTGAATAACCACCGAGAATTTTTATCCATTTTTTGATAATTTGTAATTCTTCTTATTACACGTTTGTTTTAAAAAACAATTTAGAAAAATTGTTAATCTTATATACACAATCAGTATTATTTCACTGAATTATTTGAAGTTTTATATTATGCACTAAAGTATAATAACAAAATTTGGGAAAAAAAGTTCACTTCCCATAAATTTTTTTTAAATAAATAAACTTAAAATTAATTTAATTAAACACCTAAATATAAATGAAAATAAAGCACTAAATTTTCAACGGCACAGCAGGGATGGTCAGCCCAAAATCAAAAACTATTAACCATTAAAAATATAAAATATAGATCGCGAAGTGAATAACGCGGGAAACTTAAAGCAATTGAATGAAGTCAGCGCACAGAGATGTAATTTGGACAAAAGTTTGATATTTGTAATAAAATTTTATTGTAAAATTAAAAATTCTTGTTTGCCACTTCGCGGTCAAGCACAGAAAGAAATAGAATTCGTTTTGATTTTAAAATGCACATCACCAAAAGGGTAAGTTACACCCCTAATGCGTGCGCAAGCAGGAAGTAAATGTGTTGTCTCTCTTACTCTAATGTTATTTAAGCACGCATCCGTTAATGGCCACGCCCTAAGCGTGTTAATGAGAATAATAATTAAATAATATTTTGCAATAACAGTAATTAATTATTTAATATTTGTATTTTGAATTAGTTTATTTATTTTGAATTTATTCGTTAAATTCAAAATTACAAAACAAATGCTACATGCGCACGCATAAAATGCAATAGTTTTTAAAGTTAAATAAATTAAAACCATCATTTTTCAAGGAGAAAATTATATTTATTTAATTATTGAATTTTGTAAAGTACAAATATTTAATATTTTATTATTATTATCAAAAAGCACCGCTGAAGTATTGCAAAAGCACCTTAAAGATAGAGTAGGGATATACAACACGAGTTTCCTTTCTATGTCATGTAGTCATAGTCTCTGTGTAAAAAATGTAAATAATGTTTCTTCTGCTTTGACAGTTTGTATTTATTATCATTATTGTTCTGAAAAAAAAACAAAATCAGGAGTTATATAAAAAAAAAGTTATTTGTTGACGATAATAATTATTAATTTATCTGCTGTAAGTAATACATCTTTCCTACTTAACCTTTAATATAAGTTGAATACAACAAGCACCAATAGATGGAACTGACAACTTTTTTTTTTTTTTGAAAATAATGTGGGAAATTAATTATTATTATATTTCTTTTTTTATTTTAATTAGAAATTATTTTTTAAATAAAATTTCGACTAAATAAAAGTTCTGCAATGCTAAAAATTGATTAAATTAAAATTCTGCTAAATTATAATTCTAAGAAATGAATTTTCCGCTAAAAGTAAATTCTTCCTATTAAAATTCTACCTAATAAAAATTCGTTTAAATGAATATTCTGTTTAATGAATATTCAAAAAGATGAAAATTCTGACACATAAAAATTCGATGAAATGGAAATTCTGTTAAATGAATATTTGGTTAAGTAATAATTCTATACTGTGAAAAAACGATGAAATAGAAATTCTGTAAAATAATAATTCTAAAAAATTAAACTTCGAATAAAAGTAAATTCTTTATATTAAAATTCTGTCTAATAAGAATTCGTCTAAATGGCTATTCTATTTAACAAAAAATCGAGCATATGAAAATTCGATCAAATATAAGTTCTCTCAGTTGAATGTTCGGTTATATAAGAATTCTGTAATATAGAAATTCGGTTAATATTATCTAATTAGTTGACATTCTATAACCAATCAGGCAAGGTTGCAGAAGATTTGACTTATGTGAATTCTCTTGAAACATTATAAGTTATAACCTTCATTTTCTATAATTAAAATTAATAATTACAATCGGTACATTTAATTTTAAAATAATTATTACAAACAAAATATTTATCCTTCCTTCTAAATAAAAAAAATTATGAGAGAAAAAATATTATTCAACACGTTCTTCATGACAGAAAATTTAATAAACATAATGTTCATTTTTGTACATAAAAAATTAATCAAACTTCAAAATTTTCATTAATTATTTATACTACAAAGTAACATTTTTTTATTCTGAGAAACAATCCTTGAAGATTCTTTGGAAAAATAAGTTTTAAGAAAATTCGACCGTATATATATTGCTTTCATTCATTTACTAACTGAAAACGTTGCTTGACAAAGATAACTGACGCAAACACCACTTTTATTACTGTGTGTCGGTAAATCTGTACGCATAAGTTTCACATCATCCAAATTCATCAACCGGTTATTCAATGTCACTTCCTTAATTGTCAGTTTAATGGCGACATTTTTCTTTCAAATTTTATATTCAGACAATTAATTCCAAAAAATAGACTACATAATATAAACTTCCGACTAACAAAGAAATCCCAAAAATTTCAAGTTTTATTTTTTATATTGATCTTAGTTTAATAAATGAACATTGCACGTATTTTTAATTATTTTTTTTTTTAGTTTTTCATTTATAATTTTATATCAAATTTATTCTTTTTTTTTTTTAATTTTTAATTAGATTTATGTTTTTTCTCTTTTGTTTTTAATTATTAGCTTTGAATTTTTTTTGTAAATCAACATGAAAAAAAAAATTCTTTTTACAGAAAATTTTAAATGCAATTTATTAGATACAGAAATTAACATTTTCGAATTACAAATATCAAGAATTTATTTATTTCAAGGAAAGTCACTTTTATATTCACTTTTAATGACAATCAAAGTCAAATCGACTAGGTCATTAACACAGATTATGGTTCTTATCTCATCGTAAAATGACAAGACTCTAAAAAGACATTTTACTTCTTGTATTTACTTTCAAACTATTACAAATAAATAGTACACTTATAATATGTATGTATGCGAAACATTATTTCTGTGTTGCAAAGGTGACAAGTACGCGATCATTAACAAGTCGAAAAAAAAAGAAAACCAGTTATTTATACCTGATCATAAACTGCCACTGAACTTTTTTTTTTTTTTTTTTTTTTTTGTTTAGTATATTACGTAATTTTTTAGTTTAAATTATCGTCAATTTGGGTCAGAATAATTTTTTTGCAGACAATGCGGAATGTGCTAAAAAAAATTTCATTCAACTCTCAATTTTGAGTTTTTCTAATTTTTGTTTTACACCTTTTTTTTTTTTTGGAAAAAAAAGATAAATAAAACTAATTTTTGACAAAATATTAGAAAACAATTTTTATGTTTTAATTAAAAAGAAATTTTATTTTTTAATTGAAAACAAATTTTAATATTTTTAAAATATTGATAAAATAATTTGTCACCGTTATTTGATAAATGTTTATTTTTTTTCTTTTTTTGAATTAAATTAATTATAATATAATATATAGAGATAAATTTATAATATATTTCTACTTAAAGATCGCGACCTTTAATCATTTTCTTTGTTTGAAAAGATATCTGTTTGATATTCATTAAACGGCAAAACGAAACATGCTAAGTAATTTGTTGCAACCATACTTGAATGTATTATATACATCGCGATAGAAATAATTTTCCTTTGCCAATTCAGATCCAGTTTCAATAAATCATTCGTCGTGAACAGATGTTTTTGATAAAGCAAAAAAAAAATTTTTTTTTAATAATCTTAAATATTTTTTAAAAATGTAAATATTTATTAAAGTGATGATTTTATAAACTTTGAAAGTTACTCAATATTTATTTAATTTTGCACAATCAATGTAATTCCTATTCAAGATATTTTAATTTACCAACAAAAATGGTGAATATTTGTTTATAAATTTTTCAATTAGAAAAAATATAATAATTCAATTTTTCCATTACACTTTTTTTTTCTCGTTTCCTGATTTAATTTGTCAACATCTATAATAATTTTTATTTTATTTAAAAAACTATTAATGAAAAAAAAAATCTTTTCTCACCCAATATTTGTATATTTGACAATTTAAATTAATTTAAAATAAAATAAATTTAAAAAAAAATTTTAATTTATTTATTTATTGATACAAACGGGCAATAAAAACTTTGCCCAATCGTACCAAGTACTAATTAACATAAAAGGAAATAACAATAATTAATTAATTTCAATATAATATATATATTTTTTTTTATTTCTCCTTTTTGATATATTTTGAAGATTAATAATTAGGAATATGATAAACGTGTCTCTCATCACTCTATGTAAATAATTTAAAAAATTGAATTTTGTTTTTCTTCATAATGCGTGTATTTTTCAATGACTGGTTTTCGAGTTAAACTTTTTATTTAAATTTCTGAACGAATAGTGTAAACAGGTAACGTTGACTTTTCGCAACACGGATACCCCTTCTCTTTCATCTTTTTTTTTTTTTTTCACTCGTTTAAATATATATGCCAGGTGCAATGATTGTAAGCTTTTAGTCTTCTTCTGTCCACCAAAATAATAATGAAAAAAAAGGAAAATTTCAAAATTCAACCTATTAATGTGTAATAATGATCAAATATTTATGTGAAAAAAAGAAGAAAAAGTGCATCCACGTTATGTGAAGTTTGAAAAAAAAAATGTTTCAGTGATATTGTTTTTTTTTTTTTTAAAAAAGAATAATTTTATTAAAATTAAAATTTTGGAAAAAATTGAAATTACGTGAGAAAAAAAATTAAAATTGCCAATAATTCTTTTTTGAATATTAAATTTTTTTAATGTAACAGTGATATAATAATATGTTTAATGTACACTTAATAAAGTAGAAAATAATTTAAATTTTATTTTTTAATAATTTGATTTTTTTTTTTAATTTAAATATAAATTAGAAATAATCATTGCGTATTCATCTTTTGTGAGCCGTGTTAAAGTTTCAACTTAGAGTTTCTTTTCACTTTTAGTACGTTCTGAAAAGAAACGATAAAATTTATATTAAAAAAAAAAAAAAAAGAACTGTTAAAATAGAAACTATAAAGAATGGAAGTTTCACTCTCTTTTCTTACAATATTTTACACTAAACTTCGATATAATTATTCGGTGAGTTTCATGAATAAAAAAAAGGAGTTTACATTAATTAATACTCTAAATAAAACAAAATAATTAATATAAAGGAAAAAATTGATGAGAAAAAATTAAGTTTGATTAAAAAAAAAATTTAATTAAAAAATTATTAATTAAAATAATAATTATATTATATTAAAATTTATTAATATAGTATAATAATTTTAATATTATATTAAATCTCAATAAATATACTAATATAAATATATTAATTTAAATTTTTTTCACAAAAATAAGGAAAAATATAAAAAAAAGGTGAAAAAAAATTATAAAATAAAATAAATTATTTTAGTTATTGAAAAAAATAAAATTATTTTATTATAGGAAATTATTTTGCTTTCAACAAGACGATTAATAAAAATATTATGTCTACTATTGGCTTGTTTAATGAAACCATTAGCTGTTTGTCGCAAATTAAAAAAGCCTGTAAGGTGTCCTCCAATTTCGAATAAATTACTATTTCTCTCAGCCAGCGAACTTGCAAGGAAAATAAGAAGAAAAGAGGTAAATGACAAAAAAAATTTATTGCAAAGAACTTAATTTTTTTTATATATATATTTGTCAAGACAAAGCTTTTTTTTTTTAAATTAATTTTTTTTTTTATTTTCGAATTCAAACTCTTGTTTTAAAAATCTAAATTTGTTTGAAAATAATATTAATTTATTTAACAATAATTATTAATTATTTAATAAAAATAATTAATTACCTACTATAATTAATTATTAATTAATAATAATAATTTCATTAAAAGAAAAATAATTACAGAAAAATAATTTTAATAATCTGTTAAAAAATTTCAGATAAGCAGTGAGGAAGTAGTGTCTGTTTATATAGCACGTTGCCGCGAAGTTAATCCAGTAATAAATGCAATTGTGCAAGATAGATTTGAAGCTGCTTTGATTGAGGCTCGAAATGTTGACAATTTTCTTAAAAATCAAAAGAAAACTGAAGATGAACTGGAGCAAAATCTCCCATTGCTGGGAGTACCAGTCACGGTTAAAGAAAGTATTGGCATTGAAGGTAAGTGAAAATTATTATTTTATTTTTTTTTTACTTTTAAAATGCAGTCAAAACTGAATACAAGGAATTTGAAACTATATGATTTATTTATTTTATTGACATTTAATCCAATAAATAAAATAAGATTTAAATTTGTTAATTATTAGAATAAAAAAATATTAATCGTAAGAATTTCATTAAAAAAGAAAAGTTTTTTTTAAATCAGTACAAATCGCAGTGGCCAAAAAAAAAATTAAATCTCTGAGTAAAGTAAATATTTACTCAATTTACATAAATATACAGTATTAAATCTTTTTTTTTTGTTTTTTGTGAAGTAATTTGTAATTTATATTTTTAATTATGAATTCAAATTTTGAAATTTATTTTTTATATCAATAGCTACTTAAATATTGTGAAAAAAAATTCGTCCTTTTTGCAATCATTGAACCGAATTTTGATTTTTCGTAAATAAATTAAAATTTTAACATTTTAAGTAAACAAAATATTCTTTCGTAAATCAATAGAAAATGGAGATTTCTTTATTTCACTTCTTCGATTATAACATCATTGAGATAATTTATATATTATATTTGATTTCATATAAGTAAGACCTTTCGGCCTTTAACATTTTCCATACATAAATAATGATTTAACAAAATTATCTTAAAACGAAAATTTTAAATCACAAATTTTCATCATTTTTATCCTTTCGTGTTAAAAATTCATTAAGATATTTTATAATTTATAATAAATAATTGTTAATTTATTTTTATTATAATTTTTATATTAGCAATTAGTAAAATATTATTTTAATGAATTTAGGAATGAGTAATTCTGCCGGTGTTAAGTGGCCGATCCCTAAAATTGCTTTTGAAGATGCTGATGTCGTAAGAAGAACACGATTAGCCGGGGGAATTCTTCTTTTGGTTAGTAATACACCAGAAATGTGTATGTGTTGGGAAACGTACAATAACGTGAAAGGAACAACAAAAAATCCATATGACACTAGAAGAACACCTGGTGGTTCGTCTGGCGGTGAGGTAATATTTTTCATTTTTTTTTTTTTTATTAATCTCAATTTCGAAAAATTCATAAATTACTAAGATAATAAAAAAAAACAATTATAATAAAAATTTTTTTATTCTTTCAAAGAATTATACACACAAATTTAATTACTTTAAACGTAAAAATTCACAAAAAAATACATATATATATATATCATAATACAATAAACAATTAATACTTTTAATCTTATCTCTAACATTAAAAATAAATTGACACAAATATTCCCTAATATCACAGATATAAAAGCATAGAATGTAAAGATAAACATTCTTTTAGTATTTAAAAAAAAGAAATATATCTAAAATATATATTTACAAAAAATTATAATTTACTAATTGCATTCTCTTTAGCTGTACGTTGCTTTTTTGGTTCTCTCAATAATTCCAAAACTTCCTCAAGATGTTTTCCCTTTGTTTCTGGCGCAAGATTATAAACAATAATTGGACCAATAAAACAAACAATTGTAAAAAACCAAAATGGCAAATAAAAACCAAACGACTCCTCAAGAATAGGCAATGAAAATTTACAAATAAAACCAAAAAGTCCATGACAAAGAGATGAGAGCATACAAGCGAGTCCTTTTACTTTAACAGAAAATAATTCACCTGAATAAATATAAGGCATTGTTGATACTCCCATATTGAGAACAATTTGCAATATAACCATACAAATTAATGGTAACCATGAAATAATTGATAAATCATATTTCATGTATTCTTTGAAAAAAAAATAACCACCAACAATTGCTAAATTAATACCCGATACAAAACCAGAGAATAAATAAATTGGCCTTCTACCCCAACGATCAACTAATTGTGATGCTGGTACACCAGCAATAACTTGTACACCACTTACAATCATTGCCGAATAACCTGGTTTTAATGTTGAACCAGATTTTTCAAAAATTTGCCTAACATAACTTTGTATTGCCAAAAAACCCGAGAATGCATATGTGAATTCAGTTATAAGTTTAATAATTAATGCTCTTCGTGATCCTCTATCGGTGATTAATTCATGAAAAACATTTTTCTCCGAATCTTCACATTCTTTAATTGTTTTTTTCATTCTTTCAATATCATCAGTAACAAATTCCGAATATTTTTCATCTGATAATTTCATTTGTGTTTTTATTGCCAATTTTTCTTTGCCTTTTAATAAATAAAAATATGGTGTCTCTAACATTAATGGAAATGCCATTAGGGCAATTATTGGTATTACACCCATGCAAATATTCATATTTTTATATGATAAATAAACACCCGCTGCATTAACAATAAAACCACCCAAGTTAACGCAAATTTTATCAAGAGAAAGGAACATTCCGCGAACATTTTTTTCCGTCATTTCACCAATGTAGATTGTGAGAAAACCAAAACTTCCACCATAACCAATACCAACGATAACACGTCCAATGCAAAGTTGTAGAAATGAATTTGCAAATATTAATACAATCCATGCTGATAATTGTACTAATCCAAAGACAAATATTGTATAACGTCGACCTATTCGATTCATTATTAATGGATATGTTAAAAATCCAATAATTGACGCTATTGAATCAATTGATGCTAGTAATCCACCTTCTTTTTCGGATAAGTAATTATTGGTTTGATTATTTGTCAAGTAGTCTAATGCTGGTGACGACCATGAAACTTGTACTCCTACATCAATCATCAGAATATAGCCTGAAAATAATAATACAACATTATTCGATCATGTCAATTTGAAATTCGATATTTTCTTCTTAGGATTAAAGAAAAATTTCATTGCCAAAAAAAAAAATTCAATCATTTTCTAAATAAAAAAATTTTTTAATGCTATTGAATTCTTTAAAATCGAAATATTTTCCAAGAAATAATGCAATTAATTAATATAATTTTATTTTATTTGAAATATTAGAAAAAAAGTTTTATAAATTATTAACAAAAATTTGAATTCAATATTTTCTTAGGATCCAAAAAAATTTTATTGCGAAAAAAAAATTAAATAATTATTCTAAATAAAAAATTAAACAGATTTTTGATAAAAAAAAAAATAATTGAAACTTTTTAATATTGAATTATTTAAAATCAAAATATTTTATATAAAATTTTCAAGATCAATAATATTTTGAAAATATAAAATTTTATTTTAAATGCTAAAAGAATGGTTTTAAATTTTATAAATTATCAACGAAAATTTGAATTCGATATTTTCTTAGTTAAAAAAAAATAATTTCATTTTCCTTGTTTTGTGGAAAAAAAAATTCAATCCTTTTTAAACAAATTTTTGATAAAAAATAATTTAAACTTTTTAATGCTATTGAATTCTTTAAAATCCAAATATTTTTCTAAAAATACAATTTTCAATATTAAAAATATTTTTGAAAATAAAATTTAATTTGATTTTATTTTAAAAATTCTAAAAAAAATTATTAAATGTTATAAATTAACAACAGAAACTTAAATAGAATTTTTAAGAGATTATTTTACAATAATTTAATGCTGAAAATGTGGTACGTTTTCCTCTGACAGTCAAGAGATTAATAAAAATTCATTTCATTAAATATTTTGAATTTAAAAAAAAAATTTAATGTATTTTTAAATTAAAATAGAAAATTTTTAGATTATTATAATATAAAAACAGATTTTTTTTATATAATATAAAAATAGTTTTTTTTTATATAATAGAAGCGCATGAAAATCTTGACAATCAGAGATTAAAAAATATGAAAATGATAATATTCTAATTGGATTAATAATCTGTAAGATTTTTTTTTTTAATAAATCTATAATTAAAATTAAATATAGAAAACTTGATAAATAGGAAATAATTGTTCATATTAAAAGAAATATTTAATTAAAAATATTAATAATTTTTACTTGCAATTATCAATAATTTAAAATTAATTAACGCCTCATGTGCAAATTGCAAAAATTTTGTTTATTGCTCTTAGAGAGATAAAAAATACTAAAGAAATTTAAATTATTTTAATTTTTTAAATATGTAAAAATATATTTCTACTTCTACATTATCTTGAGTCTCGTCAGTCCAAAGATTAAATCATTAACATCTCTTAGATAATAGATATTATTTAGCTTTTCGAAAAATTGAATAATTCTTTTTATAACTTCAGAACAGTTGATTACAAATTATAATATTAAATAATTATAAATTAGATCTTGTTTTTTAATTATTATTTTTTTTGTTTATTACTGTTAATTTCATTATAATTATAATTATAATTATTTATTTTCTATTTTCTCTAAATAAATAATTAAATTATTTCGGCCCGTATATTTTTATAAATAAAAATAATAAAATAAAAAATGAAAAGAAGAAGTAAAACATATAAATTAAAATTAACGCAAAAGTAGAAAAAATTTTTTTTTTTTGCAAATGATTCCATGTAATTAAAATATGGAAATAAATTTATTTTTTTTTGTTACAATAATTCTTATTATTGAAAATTAATCCAATTAGATGGTTCGAATGGTTACTGTTATTGGCGAATAACAATATACAAAAGAACATGTCATAACTTACGTATTTGGAGACTTTATAACAATAAGGCAAGCAATAAAAGAGAAAGAGACTTTTTTTTTTAACAAAAAAATTAAATCTCTTATATGAAAAAAAAGATATTTTTTTTCTCATATACATGCCTCACAATTAATGGTCCCTTTTTTTTACACGTGTAAAAAACATTTTTTTTTTCCGTTCATTCGTTGGGCCTCAAAAACGAGCCACGGAATTTTGTTTCACTGTCATCTCTAACTTCTATATTGTTGTTTAATAATAGAAGATGTAATTATACACATCGTTTACGGAGAAAAATAAAAAATTACATTTAAATTTTGAAATTGCTCTTTAAAAAAAAAAAAAAAAATAAAAACAATTTTTTAAAAAAGGAAAATAACTTTTTTCAAAAAAATTAGTTTTCGAAACTATGAATAATTTTAATTAATTAATTTAATTAGAAATAGTTGTACAAATATTAAATTATAAAATATGTACTTATTTTTCTCCGTGTTATCCGAATTTAAAAGTCCAGTATAAATAATCTAATATGTACACTCAGAATTTTTTTTTTAAATTACATTCGAAGAGAGAATTTAGAAAGGAAAATTTTTACAATAATATAATAATTATAAAATCATTTATTAAGTAAATATTTTTTTATCATTAAAATATTAATTATTAATTTATTGTCCTAATAAAATTGTTTCATTGGAATAAAACATATAAAATTAATAAATGGAGATTTTTTTTTTTTAAATCAAATTATTCTGAGTGTAAAAGTTTTCGAATAAAAATTAAAACTAGAGAAAATAAAAGATTACAGAAAACTTACCACAAAGGATTGATATAAATTGTCGAAGAAAGGCATTTCTTTTTCTAGATTCATTGTCATTAATTGGTTTTTCTTGAATATTCACAGTCCTTGAAGACGAATTCAAACAAAACAAATTTCCAAATTTCATGTTGTTTTCTTTAATTTTCCTTTTTTTTATTTTCTGTTAATTTTCCTGCGATGATAAAATTCATATTGTTAGTGATGAGTATGAAGATAATTTTTTTTTCTTTTTTTCAAAAACAAAATTTTATTTATTTTTAAATAATTTTTTTGCAATTTAGTAATTTTTTACAATTTAATTATTATTATAAATATTTATTCAGTTACGCTTGATAATAAATTTTATAAGAATTATTATTATTTTTTTTTATTAGAATTTTATTAATTAAAAGAATTGTAATTAGATAAATTTGTAAAGTAAATTGAGTAATGAAAAACAAAAAAACGTACACAAATTCTATCTGGAAGCTGACGTTAAGTTCTCTTTTCAATAACTTTTTCATTCTGAAGGAAAAAGGAAATTGGATAAACATTATTATACGTATTTACGCAAATAATGTATTCTGAGCCGGTTTTCAGTATTAGAAATGATTTGCATGATTTTTGTTACGAAATTCCAATCATTTGATATGTTTTAGAAAAATAATACCTTATAGCAAAATTTTATACTAATGCATATAAATATTTGTGTTTACTAATATATATATAAAGGTTAAGAGCATATGTTTTTATTTTTCTACGATTTATTAAAATTAAAAATTCAAAAATTAAAGAAATTTTTTGGGAATTAAAAATTTTTTTTTTTGATTTCATGAATTAAATCCGAGATTTTCAAAAATTTTACTATTTTTTTTTAAAAATTTTTTTCCTTTTTCAAAGGAAAATAAATAATAAAAAAAAATTTTTTTTTCAGTAATATTAATTAATTTGTTTGTTTTTAGGCTGCACTTTTGGGATCAGGTGCATCTGTACTTAGTCTCGCCTCAGATATCGGAGGCTCTGGTCGACTTCCAGCAATGTTTTGTGGCGTATTCGGTCATAAACCTACGCCAGGTATGTGACAAAAAAAAATTCTTGTTTTATCTCTATATATATGTATATTTCATAATAGGAGATTCAATTTTAAAATGTTTATTTTTACAGATAAAAAATTAATGCCTATTGTTTTATCACAAACAATTTAGTTCTTTGTCATTAATTGATCATTATAGAATTTATTGCATCACAAAATTAATGGGAATTTTTCCATTATAGGTATATATTTATTTTCAATTATATAAAAAAAAAAAAATATAACAATAAAAAAAGTAAATAATTTTTCAATTTTATAAAAAATAATATATAGCAAATAAAAAAAAGGTAGATGTAATATAATTATTTTTTATATAATAAATAATTCTTTTTTTTTTGATTTCGAATAATGTTATCCAATTGAGATATTTTCCCAATTGACTTATTTTGAAAAATAGTTTTAAAATACATTTTTTTTAAATAAAAAGAAATATTATAAAAAAGAAGAAAAAGGAAAAAAAATTGTATTTAGTGAAATAGAATTAAATAGAAAAATTTTTTGTTTTAAAACTAATGACAATATTGAAATATTTTTCAGGATGGGTTTCAGTTTCCGGACACATGCCAGGCAGTGACGATAAAAATTGGCCATCTTTTTTTTGCATTGCACCAATGACACGTTACGCGCAAGATCTTCCAATGTTACTTAAAATCATAAGTCAAGATCCACAAGTTTCGGAACGTCTCAGTCAAAAAGTACGTCATTTATAATTTAAAATGCTAATTTTTTTTATTGAATTAAAAAAAAGTCTTACCTGAACTTTATAAAAATAGATGATGTTTACAGTTTTTTTTTTATTTTTTTTAGTGAAAAAATTTTTTTTTTCTTTTATAAGAACACAAAAATTTGGCAAATTATTCTCGAGACGAATAATATTCAATAGACATATTTATTTAGAATTAAGTTGTTAATGAATGAAAGTCCGAAATGTAACTAACGTTATGAAAATTCGAGATTGATGAGTTTTGTCTTACTTGAGACGTCTCCCACCAAAAATATTTAATTGTCCAATTAGAGCCGGTTTTCTATATCGGAAAAGTAGGTCTGGATTTATTTTTAATGATATTTGAAATGTCGATAATGGAATTTTTTTTTCTTTCACTGATATCAAAAATATTTTTTATAAATGAATTTATGAAAAAACAATTTTCATATGTCAAATTTGAATTTAACTTTTTTTTTTTTATTATTTAATTTCATTTAAATCTGAAAAAAATTTAATTATTAAAATAGTTTATCTTTATTTCAAAAAATAATAATTTAAATTTTATATTTATTTAGAAAAAATAATAAACTTATAATAAGATTTTTATTTTTTATTTCAAATTTCAGGTAGAATTAAAAAAACTGCGTTATTTTTACATGGATTGCAAAAGTAATAAAGGTATAATTAATTCAATTGACAAAGACGTTAAATCAACAATAAAAAAACTCACAAAACATTTAGAAAACATTTATGGTGTTACTGTACAAAAGGTATTTAGAATTGTAAAAAAATAATTTTAAAGCAATTTGTTATTTAAAAAAAGAAATTAAACATTTTTTTTACATTAAACGACAATTTACAATATCCAAATTTAAAAAAAAAATCAATTAATTTCAGATAAAATTGAAAGAACTAGAAGATGCTTTTGAATTTTCAACAATAAGTATTGTTCAAATCGATGGAGTGGAATCGATTTTCATGAAAGGAAACAATCCAAAAGTATGTTGTTGTTTTTTTTTATCACTTATTTATTTATTTTTTTTTAAACATCAATGAATTTTTCAGCTCGAAGAATGAAAAAATTAATAATTAGAAAGAAAAAAAATAATTACAACATAAATGGAAAGTTTTTCTTAAAATATTTAAACATTTCCAAACCGTAATTAAAATCACATTAACTACTCTATTTAGAAACGGTGCAACAATATAGAAAACTCATAAAATATATATGGAAAATTTTTTTTGTATTCTTAAATAATAGGAAAATTTTTCTTTCCAATCTTCATTTTTTCTAAATTGATTTTTACAAAGTGCGACAAAGTTTGTTATTTTAGTTTAAGATAAGACAATCTGAAAATTAGAAACAAATAGTTTGAAAATTTCTCTCAACGGTTTAAAATTTTTATTGATTATTATTTCAGGTGAATTTTAAAATAAATTTTTGAAAAAAAAAAATTCATAGAAAAAAAATTGTTTTATGTCGAAAATAATTGTAATTGTATTTCGTTTTATTAATATTTCATTAATTATTTCAAGGAATGGAAAAGTGTCAATTTGGAAATATTAAAGTATTTATGCTTTTTATCGCCTCACAATTTCCATGCAATATTTTATGGTGTTATCAAGAAAACCGTGGATATGTTACCAAAATCATTTAAACAACGAATGATAGAAAAAAATAGTGCTGTCAAAAAGCATCTTGAGGTAAAAAAAAAATAAGAGAAAAAAAAATGTCCTAATATATTCAAATTGAATTATTTAATTATTAATGTTTTTATTTCTAAAAATATTTTATATTTTTTACAGGACTTACTAGGAGATGATGGTGTCTTAATTTGTCCAACATTTTCAACTTCAGCATTTTTTCATTATGAAATGTTGCAAAATGTCTACTATTCTACATTTATGACAATTTTCAATTCCCTAGGATTTCCTGTCACTCAATGTCCAATGGGTCTTTCGGAAAATGGCCTCCCAATTGGATTACAGGTATGTAATTAAATTCAATTAAAATTTTAATATTTTTATTTTTAAATAATTTTTTCTATAATAAAAAAAAAAATAAATACGATATTAAAAAAAAAGATAAATAAATATCGTAATAAAACACTTGAAAATGATTTTGAAGAAAAAAATTTGATTTTAGATTGCTGCTAAACCAAATTGTGATCATTTAACAATTGCCGTTGCACAAGAGATTGAGAGAACTTTTGGAGGATGGCAAGCACCTCCAAGTAGCGAGGGTGCAATATAAAAAAAAACTCAATTTTTATACACTATTTATGTTTTTGTATATAGATATCATAATTAGAATAATTTATTAGTTACAAATAATTTTAACCACTTAGACAATTTTTTACGAATAGCAAAACGAAATTCAAACAATGGATTAGATAAAAAAAAAAAAAAACTTAAAAAATGAAATTAATTTTTTTTAGTTAAAAAAAACGATTGCAATTAAGAGCGCAATATTTCTAAAATTTCTTCAAGATTTTTTCCCTTTGTTTCGGGAACAATGAAAATAATAATAAACGGTCCAATGAAACAAACACTTGAGAATAACCAAAATACTGAATAAATACCAGCGGCTTTACCTAAAAATGGTGTCATAAATTTTGACATAAATATACAGAGTCCAAGAAAAATTGACGATATCATTATAGCCAATCCTTTAACTTTAACCGAAAAAAGTTCACCCGAATAAATATATGGTAATGTTGATAATCCAATATTGCTGACAATTTGAAAAATAATCAATGAAATTAATGGTGTCAATGAAAATGATGTGACATCAATTTTCAAATAATATTTAAAAAAAAAGAAAATACCTATCAATAATAAACAAATTGATGACAATATACCAGATAATAAAAATGTTGGTTTACGTCCCCAATGATCAACTAAATAACATGAGGAAAAACCAATTAACGATTGTACACCACTTATTAACATCACTGAATATGCTGGTTTCAATGAAGATTCACTAAGAACAAATATATCCTGCGCATATGTTTGAATAACCAAAAAACCCGAAAATGCATATATAAAATCAATAATTATTTTAATAATAAATCCACGACGACTTCCTTTATCGGTAAATAATTCATGTAATACATTTTTTTGCGATTCACGACATTCGTTAATTGTTTTTTTCATTCTTTCAATATTCTCATTAATTTCAAAATTTTTGCCATTTAATTTCATTAATATTCTCACTGCATTATCCTCTTGATTTTTTAATAAATAAAAATATGGTGTCTCATGCATTAATGGAAATGTCAATAGTCCAATTATTGGTATTATAATCATAACAAGATTCATTGTTTTATATGATAAAAATGTACCCACAATATTTAATATAAAACCACCAAAATTCAAACATATTTTATCAATTGAAAGAAACATACCGCGAATATTTTTCTCAGCAATTTCACCAATGTAAATTGTAAAAAAATTCACAGTACCACCAATACCAATACCAACAATCATTCGCGTTATACAAAGATAAGTGAAATTATTTGCAAAATTTATTGAAATCCATGCAATTAATTGAATAATACCAAATATCAAAATTGTATATTTTCTCCCAACAATATTCATTATCAATGGATAGATAATTATTCCAAAAATTGTACATATACTATCAATTGATGCTAACCATGCACTTTGATAAAATGTTATGGGAATTTCTGAATTATCACTAACTAAATATGGAAGTGCCGATGATGTCCATGAAATTTGTGATCCAACATCAATCATAAGAATGTAACCTGAAAAAAATTTTTTTTTTTTTTGAGAAAAGGGATTTATTTTTTTAAATAAATACCAATTTAATTTCATATAAAAAAAAAATCTATTTAACTCAAATTTTATAAAGTGGAATTTTTTATTTATTTTCTTTTACCCAAAAATAGGAATATTTTTCTAATTCTTTAATTATTATTGACAAAGTCATTAATTAATGAGTAATTCGAAATATTGACTTTTAAAATGTATGACGCAAGTTTTTTTCCAATTTACAAAGATTTATGAGTTTAAAATTTCAAAAATATATATATTTTATTAATTAAATTAAGAAAATTTTCAGAACATATGGCAAAAAATAAATTTCAAAGTTGAAATAATTCAATTTTTAGTATTGAATGGAATTTTTAATATATTTAAAATTGAAATAATAATAATAATTTTAGAATTTCGTAGAGATTAAAAAAATAAATCTGAACAAGAAAGTTAAATAGAATTATCTTAAGAACAATAATTATTATGATTTTGAATGATAACACATTTTTATTTCAAAATCCGTTTTTATGAATTTCATATCAATGAAACGCCTAATTATTTTTTAATCTCTCATTCCAAGGTTGAAGTTATTAATTGTTGTCAATATTTCTATAAATTAAAAATTAATAATAATAATAATAATATTGAAAATACAGAATTAGCGAAATTTTGCTTAATTTAATGAGAAAATTTAAAGTTAAGAAATTTTTTTTTTAAATTATTTAATATTTACCTCCAAGAATTGATATAAATTGTCTAAAGTGCGCTTTTCTTTTTTGATAATTTTCATTTTTATCATTAATTACACCTTTACATTTTCTAAAAGAAAAATTTTTACATTTAAAAAAACTAAATAAACTCATGCTTACTTTTTTTTTCTATACAATAATCTTTTCAAAAGTTTCGCTTATACAAATTCAAAAGATGGAATTTTTATTTATTTATTTTTTTTTTAATTATTATCTATTGATAAATAATCCGGTTTACAATATTATGAAACAATAATTATGTTTTCATGAAAATGTTTATATATTTAAATTATGCAATAATTTTTCGTTCTATTTCTAAAAAAAAAAAAAAAAAATTATTTTTTTAAAATCTTTATTTTTGAAAAAATAAAGTAAAATCGAAAATAGGAAAAATTATTTATTAGAATATATTTAAAAAAAAAAAGAGAGAGAGATAAGGTTTGAAAATAATATTATTCCCATAAAATTTGCAATTAAATAAGATTTAATCAGAGTGAAAAGTGAAGCGGAAATTTCTTCCACAATATCAAACAACTTAAAGAGTTGGTCAGTTCTTAACTTGCTCTCGTGTCGTGATGGTCAAGACAAATGATTAAATGAATAATTTCATTGAATTTGTATTTTTGTTTTTAATCTAGTGTAAAAAAAAGTTAATTGTGATAAATTTGTTTAGAATTTTTAATAATAAAATAAAAGTAAAGAACTATTTTTGTGTCTATTATATTTTACTATCTTTTGTTTTCTCGCTCGATAAGAATATTTTTTTTTTTTTTAACAAAACACGTGAGTTTTATTTTATATATAATATTTATATTTTTTTTTTATAAACCAAATGAATTTATTTATTTATTTAAAAATTAATTATTATCTACTTACATATTTAAAGTTAAGTAAAAATTAATTTAAAAAATTTAATAACAATGTTTTATCGTTTTTTTCCTATTATTTAAAGTATAATTTATTTTAATAAATCAGATATTATATTTATGTAAATTTATGCGGGGGAAAAAAAAAAAAAATGTTTTTACGTCGATAATATTTTTCACGCCGTTCATTCTCAACAATGAAAATTACTGTTCCGGGAAGGGGAAATTAAAATTTTGTATTTAATGAAATAAAATAAAATCTCTCAATATATATAAAAGAAAATAGAAAAACATATTTAATTTCTCTTATATCGATGTTATTTACCTATTTGAAATTTTGAAAAAGTACATTTAAAAAAAAAAAATGTTTTTAAAAGAAAAAAAAATTTATGAACAAATATTGATATTTCGTCAAAGATCATCAAAAAGATTATTTTCTAAGAACTATATTTACACACATATTCTTATTTTTAGTGTTAATAAATATATATGTCATTTGTTTAAAGAATAATTATAAACTTTTTATTATCATAAAATATACAGAACGAATTTAATTTTTATATTGCAATAACAAAATAATAATAATAATAGAATAAAAATAAATAAATAATATATAATTAATACAAATAATAATTGGAATAAAAATATGAAATAATTAATAAAAAATAATAGTAATAACAGTATTTTAATATCAGAAAAATTAAAATGCAAATTAATAATATTGTTTGTTGAAATTAAGTGAATTTGATTGTGTTTAATCAAATTATGTCTCAAATTCCGTGAGACTTTATCAAAATATTATTTTTTTTTTGCTAAAATTTGATATAATTATTCAATTTGAAGCTTTAAGGATTTTTCTTTTACAATTTTATCTTCTATATAAACGATTTTATTTTATCATTCAATAATTAATTATCCCCTTGACCTCATATGGTTACAAGTTCAATGTGGATATTTTAATGTCTGATGTAAAAAGACATTTTTTTTTTCTTTGCATAAATGAAAGTAAAAAAAAATAATTACAAGTTCACCTCGTTTCCTGGTGATTTTAAATTTAATTAAAAGACTTTTATTATTGTCTGCATTTATATATATTTTTTTATCATTTGTTAATATTTTCTGATTTTTTTTTCGTTAAAAAATATTTATTTTATTTATTTAATAAGTTATAAAAATAAGAAATTTTTTAAATAATAAAATGAATTAAAAAAAAAAAATTAATTTAATTTTTTTTTTGGAGCGTTTTTGATAATTGAAATTTTAAAATTAATCTAACAATTTGAATATTATATTTTAATTTTGCGAAAAAATAGACTGAAACTGATATTCACTTCTTGTAACTTGGATATATTTTTAATGTTAATTGTCGAAAGTGTTCAACTACTTTCACTTCAAGTAAACTCTCGGAAGATCAATTTATCTTGATACAAAAAATATAATTAGACATTTTTTTTTTTGCTTGCTAAATATGAAACTCAATTAAAACAATAATAAAAATTTGGAAAAAAAATAAACCGAAACAGAAAACGAGTTTCTTTTTATTTTTTGTAATTTAATTTTATATTCAATAAAAAATTTAGCAGTATTACAATTTGTTTTGTAGTAAACATAATTTTATTTTTTGAAGAATAAAAAATTTATGATTATAATATGAATATATAGCGTTTAGAGATTCAAGGTTTTTTTTTAGCTTCTTTATTATAAATATATGTTTATTTTATTGTACATCGTAAAATGTAAAAATAAAAATAATGACAAATTTTCGAAGCATTTTTTTTTAAGTGAAATTTTAACCAAATTGAGTCAAATATATTTTGATCTTTTTTGTTTTTATGAAAAATGCATCAAAATATTTTATCAAATAATTAGTAATGTTAATAACATTGACACAAATATATGTATCAACCTTGAATTTTTTATTAAAAACTGAAAGCTTAAAAGAATTAAAATTCATTATTCAATTAATAAAAAGCATGATCATGAGAATTATGGTTTGACTTGCAAATGTAACTCTATTTTTGTATTTGTTACAAATGATAATTAATTTCCTAGATTCCTAGATTAAAGAAAAAATTAACTGTTTAAAAAAAGGCAATTATTCATTTCAAATAAAAAATAAATAAATAATTATAAAATAAAATGAAAAATAAATAATATAAAATAAAATAAAAATTTACTGTAATGGAAATGAAAAAAATAAGAAAATAAAATAATAATAAAAAATAAAGTTTCTCGTGTTGATGAAAAAAAAGTTTACAGGACTTTCTTAAAACATTAATCGTGCCATTGCAGTGAATAAAAAAAGAAAAATGTAAATTATGAAACTATGCAATTTACAAGTCTTCCAAATTGCCGTCACGTGCAACTATTTCGAAAGTACAATAAAGCTCTCAAAACAATCATCAAGAATGCTTCCTTTGTGTACAATCGAATTGAAATCTTATTTCAAATTTAGATTTCACACATTGCATTCTATATCTATAAAAAAAAGAACGTGCAGAAATTTTAATTATAATTTTATTATTATTACATTTTACAAGGACTTTATTATTTTATTAAAAAAAAATTTATTCATCAGATTTAATTTATTATTCGAATATTAATTTTATTTTCTTTTATTAAATTAAAAAATAAAAGAATTCGAATTTTTTCAGAATGGAGTTTACAGTACGTCTTGCAATGTTTGTACTGAGATTCATATTAAAATTATTACAGCCAATTTATTGGTTTGTCAATTATCATCGACAAAAAGAATTGCCAGCAATTAAAAATCCACTTTTATTACTCAGTGCCAAGGAAATAGCAAAAAAAATTCGTAATCGAGAGGTTTTTTTCCTTTTTCTTAATATAAATTAAAAATTAACTCAAAAACAAAAATATTAATGAAAATAAAAAATTAAATTTTTAAACTCAATTTTTCTTTTTTATATTATTGATTGAAGATTTCTAGTGAGGCTGTAGTTGAGGCTTATATTGAACGAATTAAAGCAGTAAATCCACAAATAAATGCTGTAATTGAAAATCGATTCAATGAAGCAATGAAAGAAGCAAGAGCCTGTGATAAAAAATTTGAAGCCGGTGAAATTAATGTTCATACATTGGAGAGAGATCAACCACTATATGGAGTACCATTTTCTGTCAAGGAAGCATGTTCACTCAAAGGTGTACTTCAAATTAGATGAAAATTAAAAAAAAACAAATTTTTTTTTTAAATAAAAAAATACAAAAAATATTTTTAAAAAATGTATTTCCGAAAACTCGTGAATTTGACAAAAGTCGAAATTATAATAAGCGAATTTTTTTTTTCTAGGATACAGTTACACGGGATGTACTCTCGTGAGAAAAGATGAAAAATCATTCGAAGATGGAGAAGCAGTGAAATTAATGAAATTAGCCGGCGCTATTCCATTATGCGTTACAAATACACCTGAAATGTGTGCAGGATTTGATTCGTCAAATCTAATTTATGGAACAACAAATAATCCATATGATACAAGACGAATAGCCGCTGGTTCTTCTGGTGGTGAAGTAATTTTTTTTTTTTTTTTCAATTAAAAATTTTTTCAGAAGAAAAAAAAATTGTCAAATAATATTTTGTTTTAATTAAAAATTTCTATTTTCCCGAAAAGAAAATTGTCAATAAATATTGTTTTTTTTTTTTTTTTTTTAATATAATTAAAGGGTGCATTGGGAGGAGCAGGAGCAATTCCTATAGGAATTGGTTCGGACATTGCCGGTTCTATAAGAGTTCCCTGTTTATTTAACGGAATTTTTGGACATAAAGCAAGCGCTGGTATTATTTTAACAAATTTTCTCTGTCTTTTGTAAATTAATTATAATTTAAAAAAATAACTTTTTTTTTCTACAAAAACAATTTTCTTTGCAAAAATTAAAAAAACATTGGAATAAATAAATTTTCTTTTTCATGTTTCAAGATGTTGTTCCAGTGAAGGGACATTATCCCATGTCACCATCGGAAGTATTTCAAAAATATTTAGCAATTGGTCCAATGGCAAGACACAGTGAAGATTTATTGCTTGCTATGAAAATATTAAGTAAAAATTTTAAAGAAAAGTTACAATTAGAAAAATCAGTTGATATAAATAATTTAAAAATATTTTACATGGAAAAATTTCCAAATAGTCCAGGTGAAATTCCCGTTTCACGTGATATAAGAAATTCAATAAAAAAAGCTGTTCAATTTTTAAAAAAACATGTTTCAAGCGTCGAGTGTGTAAGTAAATAGACAAAATTTTTAATAATTAAAAAATAATTTAAAAATTATTTTAATCGAATTTTTTTTTGTTTTCTAGCCAAAAATAGATGAATTAAAAGACATTTATGAGATTTCAATTGCAATGTTTTTTTGCGTTGAAGATGTACCTAGAATATTATTGAATCCAGATGATCCAAAAGTTAGTTTTTGAATTACTAAATTTTTCTAAAGAGACAGAGAATTATTATTATTATTATTTTTCAGAAAGAAAAAAATCCTTTCATTGAATTGGGAAAAGCAATCTTTGGATTATCACAACATACAAAAAATACAATTTTAATGAGCGTTTTTACAGAAACTCGAGGACTTATGTTACAATCAAAATTATCCTACTATCGAGAAAGGGAAATTAAAATACAAACTAAATTTGAGGTTTGGAAAAAATTTTAAAACAATTTTTCGATATTCTAAAAAAATATAATTATAGCAAAAAAAAATATATTTCTATTTTTTTTAAATTACATTTTTTTTTTTGCAGAATTTACTTGGAACTAATGGAATTTTGATAATTCCATCTTATCCAACAGCAGCTTTACTTCGTAATCAAGCATTTTTAAATTTTTCCGGAGCATGTTATTCCATTTTATTCAATATTCTAGGATTTCCAGCGACTCAAGTTCCAATGGGTCTCAACGAACAAGGACTTCCAATTGGTTTTCAAGTAAAAATTATTTTACACTTATTTATTTCATAAATATATTGTATATATATACTTTTATACCTTAAGATTTTCTTTATAAAAAATAAACTAATCAATTCACGATTAAAATCCAAAAATTGCTTTTCCTTAAAACTAATAAATATATGTTTAATTTATTTACAGATAATTGCCAATAAAAATCAAGATAGATTATGTTTAGCAGTTGCTCAAGAATTGGAGAAAGAATTTGGCGGTTGGATTCCACCAAATAGTAGTTGATTTTTTTTATACAAAAATATAAATAAAAATAATTTGTGTTTTTTTTTTAAAGTTAAAAAACTCTAAAAATTTTTGATTTAATAAAATATAAACAAAAATTATTATTTAAATCAACATTCCAAATTGGAAAATGAATTAATTTTTAATATTAAAATAAAAGAAATTTATTTTTTTTTTCTTAAACTTTTGATATTTATTTGAAAATATCATCACATTCTATCGTCATTTTAAGATAATAAGCTAAAAAGATTTTATTACGTAAATACCTCCCCGAAGGCGAAACTATCGTACATTATAAACTTAAACATAATATTTATCTTTCATAGACATTCGTTCGCATAAATATATATATATACTTTTTTTTTTTTTTTTTGCAAATACTATTCATTCATATTGCAATTAAACTTATTTAAAATGTACGAATCTCTAAACTTTAACAATGAATAATAATTGACTAATCACAATATATAAGAAATACTTTTTTTTTTAAATATATATAATATAAAAAAGAAGCAAGTCATTGCTGACAAAAAATTCAAGTTTCTTCTTTATACAATTTTCACAAACATCAATTTTATTATTTCTAAATTTAAAAATAAGAAAATTGTGTTTAAAAAATTAAAAAATATAAAAACAGAAAGTAACAAAAATGCTAATAAAAAAAAATTATATAATTTTCCTAGTAAAATTATTTTTCTAGAAAGAAAAAAATTTTTTTTTTCTTCAATGACGAATAATATGTTTTTATGCAAGAATCTTGTTCGACAAATAAAACGTGTAAAAATTATGAATTGAAATATGCAAATTTCAGAAAAAGAGAGAAAAAAAAATATATGTAATTTTCTATTTCGTCATTTAAAAATAAAAAAAAAAAAAAAAAAAAAAAAAGAAAAAATGAAAACTGATAAACAGGACCTGATAAATGTTGATGTAAGATTTATTTTTTCCGATCTCCAGGTATCACGTATGGTTTACCACCGTGACGTTCCCATTCACGATTAAACTCATGCTCCAAGATTTCAGCTCCACGTTTTCTTGTTAAACCAGTCTCGTCCAGACTCAGCTCACACATTTGCATGTCGTCAATGCCTATATTCAAATAAAAAAGGTGTGAAAATAAATTTTTTCCCCCAATTTTCAAAAATATCAGGAAAAAAGAACAAATATATCTTTAATTCAAATAATAATTAAAAATTTCTATATATAATAATATTTTGAAAATAATAATAATTTTATTATTAAATTAGGCTTTTTTTAATTTTTATACAATTTTCTTTTTTTTTTTTTTAAATTAGAAGATATTTTTAGTAAGAAACGAAAAAAAAAATGAAATTATTGACAAAATATGAATAAATAAAAGGAAATAATAAATTTTTTAAACAGACCGGCAACTAAAAGAATTGGTGGTTTGTCGGGATGAAGTTCCATCTGTCTTGCAACATATTGTCCATCAAAATGAGCATACCACCAGCCTCTTTTCCCTCCACTGTTTGGATTATCAGATTGTCCAGCTGCCGGAGGACGAACAAAAGGAATCCTGAAGAATCTTTGCGAAATTTCAAGGATCGGTTGTTTTAAAGGCGAATGGGGTGTCTTTGCTGAAATAATTTTTCTTTTATCATAAAAATTTTCTAAGCAAAATTTTAATAAGAATTTTCAAATAAGAATTATCAAATTTGATTTCAATTAATTATTATCAATAATTACGAAAGTGCATGTCCCGTCAACTTAATAAATAAATAATTATTAATATATTAATTAATATTAATATAATTAGTAAACAATAGAATAATACAAACATAAAAAAAAAATTTCCGTTTCATTATTTATATAAAAACAAAAGTAATATTGAATTCGAGTTCAAAATAAACTCAATTTTTACATAATATTTTTTTACCTGCTTCCATAATTGATCTTGGCGCTCGTTCATTTTCGTCCATTGTCGTGCGTTTTTTATTTCTTGCTTTCCAAGCATGATAAACTTTTAGTCTACGATGAAATTCATGTCGACATGCCTTAAAAATGAAAAATTATTTAATTAATCGTAATATCTACAAAAATTTTTCAAAATAAATTCCTAATTATTTTTCCATTAAATAATTATGTATTAACAGTTTTAAATTCCATTTTTTTTTTTTTTTTATTTTATTTTCTTAAGAAAGAAAAATTTTTCTTTTTTACTTTACCTCAAGTAATTCAATATCACACGATGTATTAATGGCATCTCGTAATTCTGAATATTTCCACTTGGACAGGTCGTATTTTTTGTTCGCCATTGCTGCTTGATGATTACGAACCTGCTCTGATCTGTGAAAATTTGTTTTTTATTTTAATTCCTTTCGACAAAATATAGAATTTTTATTCAAAATTTCAATTTTTTTCATGCAGAAACACATACACATTCAACAAACCACTAGGAATCTAAAAAAAAACTGAATTACAAAAAAAAAAAATGGTTAATGATATATTAATTAATCGGAGAAAAATTTCGTAGATGACAAATAAGTGTAAACATGCAGAAAGTATTAATTTTCACAACCAGAAGTCGAAGAAATTTTTTTTTTGTAAGAATGATTTGTTATTTGTTAAAGCGACAAAAGAATTTTTTTTTTGCATGCCAATTTCCTGAAAACATGAATACCTTATAAGTCTATTGTTGCTTGTTGTTGTTACTCGTGAATCAGGAGCGCTGTTAATAGCAACAAAAAATTAATCTTTTAAATCAATTTCTATTCTTTTTGATTTTTTTTCTCTTGCATGAAACAAATTTTCCAAAATTTTTAATTTAAAAACGGAAAAAAGATTAAATAAATAAAAAAAGGGGTAATTTACCTTCGTGCCAATGGTGGAGAATCTTCAACTTGACCATTTGATTCTTGAGCAAGTCTAAGTGCAAGTTCATGATCTCTTCTTTCTTGTTCTAAAATCTCACGGAAATGATTTTCTTCTATTGCCTCTTTTTCTAATTGTGCCTGTGAAAGTGTAAATATTTTTATGTAAACGATAAAAAATGAAAATTAAAAAAAAGGAAAAGAAAAAGAAAATTTTCATATATATAAAACATACTTGAAGAGCGGCAGCAGTTTTAAGATCTTCCGCTTCTTGTCTTCGTCTTTCTTCTTCTTCAATTTTTCTTCTATTTTCAATTTCATGTTTCTTCCTTCGATTATCTTCCTCCTCTCGTTTCTTCTGCTCCTCCTCCTCTTTTTTTCGTTTCTCTTTTTCCATTTCCAATTGGATTTTTCTCAATCTCTCTTGTTCTTCAGCTATTTTTTGCTGTTTAACCATATCTTGAAGTGCCGCCATTTGTTTATTCACTTGATTCACTAAATTCGTGTAAGTAGCATCAATTTCCATTGCTGTGATCTTTGGATTTTTCTGTAATAAAAGAAAATGTTTTTTTTCAATCAATTTAATTTCAAAAATATATATATATATATATATTTTATCAATTTTTTATTTTAAAAATGCTATTAAAAAAAAAAAATTACAAATACCTTAATTTTTTGCATTGCAGTATTTAATTCAGTCTGCAGCGTTTTGATATCATTGATACTTTTCTCCTTAGCAGATTTTAATTGTTTCGAAGTCTCCTCCATTCTTGACAATTGACTCGTTAAATTTCGTATTTTTGCAATTCCCTTTATTCGTGGTTGATGTTGCTTTTTAGCAATGTACATTCGTGCCGTTTTTTGAATAACAATCAAATGATTTCGACGATAGATAATTTTATTCTTTACTAGAGGGGAAAAAAGAAAAATTAATTTCAAAGTCAAATTTATATCTAAAATATTACAATAGCAAAATTAATTAATTATTATATTTCGATTTTTAATTAATTTATTAAAAATAAAAAAACTCACGTTTTATCACAGATAGAGCGCAAAATTGCATTTTATTCCAACGTGACTTTAATAGCCATTTTTTTACATTCGCCACAAGTTTCTGTAAATTTTCTGGATCCGATTTCATAATTTTATCGAATTCGGCAAATTTCCCCGGTTTAAAAAATACTCTAGTAATTCCAAATTTGAAATCTTTTTTATTTAATTTCAAACTATGAAGCAGAGCCTTTAAAAATTTATTTAAAAAAATGTATTTTAATTATTTTACACAATTGGGTAAGGAAAAAAAAAATGTAATTTTACCTCACAAAAAAATCGAGGATCCAATTTTGCCAATTCTGGTGGCAAATACGATTTGTACATATTATAAAGTTCCTGAAACGGAACTCTACTTGGATAACCATGTTCCATTAATTCCAAAACGGAAGTCATTCCTGAACATCGTAATTGTCCCAAAATATTGTTCCCCTCAAAACGATGACTGACCATTTCATTGTTTGGCTTAATGCAACGAATGAAATTCGTTCCCTATTTTAGAATTTTCATTAAATTATATATATAAATAATTAATAGGAAAAAAAGAAATATTAATTGTTAAGATTAAAAAAAAAAAAAAAAACTCACGTTGCTTTTAAGTTTGTCCATTAATTCGCCTAATTGTGTTTTAAATTTACTACCAACGCTGATGAATGTTAATTTTCCCTTTTGACTAGAATGATTCGCAAATTGTGTACGTAGAAATTTATTTTCACTTTCTTGTATTAAACCCTCAAGTGATGCGTGAAGAGCGTCATTGTTTTTTTCAATAAATTGATTCTGACATAACAAATAAATTTTAGTTTAAAACATTTTTTTTTTTTTATGTTTAATATTAAAAAATTAAGGTAATTTTATCAATACAATTATATATTTACCGTTTGATAGCAAACACCGCCAGCAAAATGACGAATAACAAATCCCTCGTCGTCGCGAAGTTCACGGTGCGCTTTCAATTTTGAAGTTCGAGGCAAAGTAATTCTAAAATGACCATTCCAAGTTCGATGAACTTCACTGGTGAAATGGGAAAAACTGTGCGTTGGCAATTTTGATTCCTCGTCAAGTAAACTGAAGATGCCAGTATTTTTCGATTCAATGAGATCTGAAATATTTATTGAAACAGCAATTTCAATTAATAATTAATAATAAATAATAAATTGTTTAATTTTAATATTCAGAAAATACAAACCAATGCAGTCCTGATTATCAACATAGGAAATTTTTGGAACATTAAGAGATTCTCGGGCATAAAGTTCCTGTTCGAATTTCAAAATTCTTTCATTGAAGAATTGTTGAAGTTTCTCGTTACAATAATTAATGCAAAATTGCTCAAAGCTGTTCACTTTGAAGTATTCTTTAAAAAAAAGAGGTTATTAATTTTACATTTTAATTAAAGAGTAATTTTAATTTTTCTTTTTTTTTTAAAGAAGTAAATAAATTATAAAAAAATAATTTTCTTTAACAAATTAAATTTTTAACGTTTTTTTAATTTTGAATAAATAAAAAAGGAATCTTACCAAATCCAGCAATATCGAGAACACCAATATAGTAACTAGAAGCCTTAAATGGAATACTTTTGTTTATCCGAGCAACAATGTGATCGAATAGTTTACTGTAAATGGCTTTTGCGAGAGCGTCTCTTGCATTGTTAGCCTCGTAAACTTTTAAGGGAACCCTTGAAAAAATACGAAAAATAAATGCCATTATTTCCATAATTTTTTTTTTAATTTTATAATTTATTTCTTTAACAATTAAGAACAAATTTTAATTTAATAGAAAAAAAAGTCTAAAAATAAAATAACATTGAAAATAAATTTTTATTAATTTAAAATAACTAAAAATAAATAAATTTTTAATAATTAATTAATTAAAATTTATTTTGACAAATAAAAAGTATAATTAAATTTATTCGTAAAAAAATTTCTTTTTTTTTTTTTGCCTTACGTACATAATGACAGTTCCTTTAATTCCGCCTCGACTCGTTTGCATGACTTTTGAAACGAGAGATTGTCGCAATTCCTCAGGATCCACTGACAATAATTTAGCGGAGAATAAAACAGCTTTTTCTGAATTAGCAGTTATTCTCGAACCGCCTTTCGTATCCTCCGGATTATCCTCAAAGGTGATATTTCCAAGATGAAGAACCGCTGCCACCATTGTGTAGATCTCCATTTTTTCCACATCGGAAATGCCTAATCGAGATAGCGCCTGTAAAAAAAGGAAAAAAAAAAAAAAATTATTACAAAAATCCATTTTACAATAGGATATTAAAAAATGATAAAATAGATTTGTATCAAGAAAAAAAAATTAAAATCCAACAAAAACCATATTCAATCAACTTTATTGATAAAAAGAATTAAAAAATATAATTAATTGTTTATAAAAGAATTTGTAGAGAATAATTTTATAGAAAAAATAATTAATAAAAAAATAATTTATTAAAAAATAAAAAAATTTCTTGCCTGATCCATTGCAGCGAATCCTTCAACATCATCGAGAATTGGATCCTGAAGACTTCCCTTTTCAATTTGATCACGACTTTTTTGCGCGTTATTAATTTTCCTCTCCGAGGAATTATTGCAAAAATATTGCGTGCATCCATTACGTAAATAATGAAAATCATCGGGTTTTGTTATACCAAGTTTTGCACGAAGTTCAGGTGATGTACCAGCGCACATCATATAAAAAACATGATAATTCCTTTCGTCTGAACTTTGTAAACAAACACGTGATTTTTCCAATAAATAATGAGAAATATAACCGCCCACAACTTGACATTTGGCATCAAAATGAACTTCCATAAATTTTCCAAATCGTGAACTATTATTGTTACGTTTTGTTTTTGCATTACCAAACGCTTCTAAAACTGGTGTGGCTGTAAGTGAAAAAAAAAAAAAAACAAAAAAATTGAGAAATTAAAAATTCTTTTCGTATAAATAAATAAAAATATAAAATTAAAGTACCATCGAGAATTTTTTGTTCAACGGGTCCAGCCGTCGATCCCCAAAGATCGCACAGATATCGAAGAAGATATTTTGTCGATTCAGTTTTTCCAGCTCCCGATTCTCCGGAAACAATTATACTCTGTGATTGTTTCAGCACTTTCATGTCTCTGAAGGCTTTATCAGCTGAAAAATGATAATTAAATATCAAATTAATAAATGCTTTCCTTGAAAAATTAATTTTTAATTTTATTTATTTTTATTTTTATTCAAAAAAAAAAAAGACTTACCAATGGCAAAAACATGTGGAGGCGTTTCCCCCAAAGATTTTCCCTGATATGCCTTAATTGTACGAGGTGAATAAAGATCCTTGACCTCGTAGTAAGGATTCACAGCGATTAAAATATTAGCGACGTACGTCTGAAATTAATTAATTTTTAATTTTATTCAAAGTGCATTATACTAAATATTATAAATACATTAACTACTAAATTGAATTTATATAAATTTTCTACTTTTATTTACTTAGGAGAAAGTTTAGATTTTGATAAAAATAAAATTAATTTTTATAAAAATGAAAAAATAAATAATTATATAAATATAAATAATCAAAATAATAATAATAATTAATATTAAAATAAAGATTAATAAAAAAAAATAATAAAATAAAGAGAAAAAATAAATAATTTCTCACAAAAATTTTGATTATAGAAACAGAGAGTGAAACAAATAACAAAATTTTAAATAAAATTTTAATTTATATATCCGATACTTACGTATATTCTATCTTTGAAATAACGAGTTCGTATATTATTTAAAAGAGTCGCTTCGTTCAGATACATTAAGGCACCTATAACAATTAATAAACATTTAAAATACTTCCATTTTATTATGAATATTAAAAAGAAAATAATTAAAAAATAAAAAATAATTTTCATAATTTAGAAAAAATATAGACACGAATTAATTAATTATATTCGAAAACAATAAAAATTTATTTATTATTTTTATAATTTAAATTTCTTTAATAAATGAGAAATAAATAATTAATTAAAAATTATTTTCCTTTCTTTTTTTGTTAAATAAAAAAATTCGTTTATGGTGGTGGAAAAAAAAAATTTCTTACAATTGTCTTCGACATCTTTGGTGTATTCTCCAGCAGGAAAAACCTCATCCAGAGGACAAGTACGTTGAGGATATTTTGAATCCAGTGGAACGATAAGAGCATCACCGTCAACCATGTCAACGAATTTTCCAATAATAAAACCCTCCTGGGAATCCCTCACCCAGACCTGCTGGTTCTCCATTTTTCCGATTTTCTGAAAAAAAATTAACAAAAATTAGAAAAAAAAAAAATTAAATTAAACTAAATAAAAAATCAGTTTTTAAAGTTTTCCAATAAAAACCCATGTTTCCAAATTTTCTTCTATTCAATTTTTTTTGTTTTTGTTACGAAAAAAATTTTTACCTTATTTTTTTTCAGGTAAAAAATTATCAAATCAAAAAAAAACAATTACTTTTTCAATTTCGAATCAAAAGGAAAACGAAATTATATTATAAAAAAAAAATTCCAATTAAATTTTTTTAATTAAAAAAAATATATATATCTGAAGGCGTTTTACGACCTTCGTGAAAGAATAAGAGCTTCATCGATCACTTTGCATTTTTATTGCTTCCCGTTAGGAAATACTTGTATATTTCTCATATAATTTGCAAAAATAAAGTAGATATATATTAAAGAATCTAAATTATTTATTTGTAATATTTTCTCTCTCAAATAAATTTCCAAATATGTCACAAATTTTTGTTAACAAAAAAAAACTTTTTTTTCGCTGTATTATTATTATTATTATTATTATAAGAGGAATATAAAGCAAAAGCGTTATGCCAGTGGAAACAAAAGGGAAATTAGTAAAGCGTATTAATTTTATTTTTATAGTCGCTGAAATGAAAACGAAAGTTCATCCATATACCTTCACTACATATATATAAATATTTCGAGAAATCTGAATCCTGCTGCGCGAAAAATTAGAGTGAAAGTTGCGAAAATCGCGCTTATTATCATTTTAGACTCATAAAAATCATCATTTGAAATTTTTTTTTTCTTTTTTACTTTATTCTATGCAAATTATTTCAAATATGCATATGGAAATTTTTTCCAATAAAAAATCGTTTTTTTTGTTAATTTTATATAAAAATTTTTTTTTTGATAAAAAAAATAAATTTTTAAAAATACAATAAAAGACATATTTTCCAATGTAGATAATGAGGTGACATTTTTTTTTTTATTTTTTAAATCAACTTTTTCAAATAAAAAGAATTTTAATACTCTATTTATCATGATGTATCATTAAGATAAAGAAAATCTTTCTCAAATCCAAATGATTCATACTGTAACGCAAAAATTAACGCCAGAATAATAAATATAAAAATTTTGACTCCGTTTTTTCATTTATATCAAGAAAACTAGTTTTGATAATTTAACAAATCCTGTTATTGATTGCAAATGATTTAATCGACAAAAAAAAAAAATTTACATATGACGTCAAATAAATATTTTTACTTTCTATTTCTGTCAAGAAAAAAAAAATACAATATCACTTATTATAAAGAAAATTAAATTTTTCTGTAAAAAATAAAAAACGATACATTTTTTTTTATATTAATTATTCAATTGAACAAAATTCATTACAAGCACCTAATAATGAGATTGGAAATAATGACAAAAAAAAATCGAATAAATTACGAAATAACCAACTATTAGTGTGTAGCAAATATTTCGATATGAGTCACGCTTTATAAATTAAACAGACTCCAAAGTTAACTACATAATTGCACAATTAGAGAGAAAGTGAAAATGAACTTATAAAATATAAAAAAGCTACTTCATTATTTCTAAAAAAAAATTTTATTATCTTTTTTTTTATTTTTATTATTTTCCAATTTATAATTTTTTTCTACTCTTAAAAAAAAAAAAAATTATTTCCAACAGTAAATAAATACAGATTTATTAACACTATATATATATATATATTTTTTTTTCTAAAATAGTGATCCATTTTCTCGAGAAATTATGAACTTGAAAAATAGAGCGGAACATAGCGTGTCAATTTTCCTGTTTTTTTTTTTTTTTTTGTTTTTTAACTATAATTAAAATTTCTATTTTCAAATTCTGAATTTGTATTTTTTTTTAATAATTTTATTTAGTGCTTATTGGAATTAAAAATTATTAAAATTCAAATATATCAATTATTAATCAATATATATTAAATGAGGGGGAAAAAAAATTAAAAAAAATTTTTTTTTTTGAAGTTTAAATATAATAAAAAATATTAAGTATTTTTACACTCGTTTGTTTTTGAGTAACAAAAATTGAGTGAAAAATGGAAGTTTGAGACAAAGCAACCCTATAATATGAAAACAGAGAATAAAGAGTTGGATTTGAACTCCCACTCTTATTATAAGCATCCCGTTAGACTAGAGCTCTCTCATGTAACGGTAAAAGTGAGAAAGATCCTTGCATCGATCCTTATGTTAGATCTTCAATGTGTACTGGTGCATTTCTGCAGTTCACACTATTTAAACAAAAAAAAAAATAATAATAATAATGATCATGATAATAATAATAATATAATAATAATAATAATAATAATAATAATAATAATAATAATATAATAATAATAATAAATAATAAAAGTAATAATAATAATAATTATAAAAATAGTAATAACAATAATAGTAATAAAAATAATAATTCAATATATCAAATTTTTTTTCTACCAAATTTTTATCCTCCGTGTGAAAAAATTCTTATACATAATTAAACATTTGAATTTCTTTCAAAAAAAAAAAAAAAATTGTTTCAAATATATTTATTTTCTCTCTTTTACTATATAGCAATAAAATTATTAATTTAATTATTTTTATTTACTCTGAGAAAAATTTATTAAAAAAAAAAAATAAAAAAATTCTGTTCACGTTTTTTTCTCACTTCCTTTCCTTTCGTTGAATTCAATTATCGTGATCTTTCTTTTTTATTTTTTTTTTCCTCAAACTTCACTTCTTTTTTTTTGTGCCAATAAATTTCAAACTTTTATATGATGTAATTTAATATCCTATAAAAATATATACAATAATAATTATTATTTATTAATAATAAAAAAAAATTATTTAAAATAATTTCCAAATTTAAAAAAAAGGTGAAAATTAATTTTTTTATTCTGTCAAAAAAAAAAAAAAAATATAGATAATGTTTATTATATAATTTTGATAATTTTCTTTCTCTATTAATAAAATAATAATTTTTTTTAGTTAATAAAAATAAAAATAATAATAATAAAATAATTATAAAAAATAATATATAAATATATATTAATATTATTATTATTTATTATAATTAAATATATTTGAGTTACAAATCATATTGGCATTCGGTTCATTCACCTTCTTCTTCTTCTTCGTCTTTTACTTGTCGACCAACTGTTAGATGCTTTTCTTTTCAGAGTATTTCTTGTTCGCCCGAACGGACTTTATGTAAAATGTAAAAAAAAAAAACGGACAAAAAGAAAAATTCATTCATATTATATATGATTCGTCAAAATTAAATAATGCCTTCAATTAAAATCCGTTAGAATCTCTCTCTCGAGGCTCGTTTATCAAATAAGATTTTCTCTCTCTTTTTCTATTCCTCTTTCTTCCTACCTATATGTACATATTTTACTCATTTTTTTTTTTCCCATGAACTTTAAAATTCTTTTACACTATTATACAATATGAAATAATTTCACTGTATATAAATGAACATTATACGTTCAAAAAATTTTCAAGTTATCTTATCTTTCAAAATATAGGTATATAACATCCAAAAAGAGGAAGAGGCAACCAGGCATGCATAGAAAATATAATATATAATTTTTCCTTTTTTATTTTTTTTTTTTTATTTTAATCCCTCTTTAATATTGTACCAACAAAAAAATTATATTCATGAATAATAATTAAAATTATAATAAAAAAAAATAACAAAAAAAAAACAAATAATTATTATAATAATAAATAATAAATAAATATTAAATAACTAATAAATAGAAAATAAATAAGAAATAAATACAAAAAAAAAGAAATTTCTCTTAAAAAAAAAGGAGATAAAAATTTTTCTTTAAAAAAAAAAAAAAAAACAAAAAATGCATTCCAAAGGTGAACAAATCCGCGTTTCCTGGAAAAAAAAATGCGCGAAAAATTGTTAATAAAAAAAAATATGTAATAATCAAATATTGTGTCGAGGCGTTAACATATAAACTCAGCGACGCGTGTCTCCCAGTTCCTGCATTTTAGTCCCACCTGCTACTTCCGGCTTCCCCTAAGGCTCAATTCCATCGTTTACTTTGCCCTTTGTCATATATATATATATATATGTAAAAGTATTAGGACCGTATATATATATATATATATATATATATATAAATCATTGCATTCATTTTGTATTTGACTGACATCAGATACGCTTCCGGGGAACCGATTTCGATTTCCGTTGGGACACATTTTTTTCATATATAGGGATTAATTAACCGATCCTCTATTTTGCAAATATATATATTATATTAACAAAACTTAACATTATACAATTAATTATTGCAAATATTTTCAAAATATTTTCCATTTATAATAATTATATACACTAAAAAAATAATTCTTTTATAAATAATAAAAATAATAATAACAAACAATTATAATAATTTCTCGGAACTTTTTTCTGAATATATATTTTTTAAATTTATATTAGTTAAATATTAATAATATTATTATATTAATTAATATAATTAATTATTATTAATTTATATATTATTTTTTAATTAGTTGAAATTTTCACTAAATTTTAGTAAAAATATTAATAATTTGATTTAGTAAAATTTTTATATTATATATACTAAACTTTTAGTAAAATGACTAAAGGTTTAGTAAAAATTTTCCCCCTATTATTTTATTTATATTTATTAATTATTATATTAATATTAGGTTAAAATTTAAAGATTTATATTTTATTCATATATTTAAAATTAAATGCAGAATATTTTTTATTTCATTTTTCAATTAAAAAATTTGTTATTAAAATATATTTAATTATTTTGTTAAGTAACATCAATCATAAAAAAAATTAATTTCACGAGATTTTGAAACGAAATTACAGTATATATATATATATATATATATATATAGCATTATTCTTTTCGATTTCGAGTTGAAACAGCTGTTCAAATTGAATGAGCGCAGAATGTGCAAAAATTCCCCTCTTATCAAGACCTTTTTCAATTAATCTCATAGG